CAGAGGTGGTATATTTAAGAAAAGTTAGTTTGACGAACTAATTTCAGTTCTTAATTTTTCTTCTTTTTATATCTACTTTCCTGTGATGTTTTCCTACTCTTTTTAAAATATCTACACCCATAGTCCTTAGTCAGTTAATTAACTTGTGATTTCTGAGACCATGTCTACTTGGAAATGTCTATTGAGATGATGTTCTTTTTAATTTCAAGAGCTCTTCTTGGGGGAGGGGGGATTGAGGCCTGTATTAGTCAGTTTTGCATTACTACAACGAATACCTAAGGGAACTAATTTAATAAAGAGAAATGGTTCAGTTAGCTTACAGTTACTTACATGTGATATGAGTGACGAACGCATTTTTTTTGTGTTCAACCACAGAGATTGAGGAATTTCAGTACTGTACCATAGAGCAGCCTGTTTCCTCATTCCTAAATTCCAAGATCAGATGGCCTCATTGGTTTGGGCCTCTGGTGAGGGTGCTGTATGGCATTGGTGGGAGCACATGTCTGAGCAGCCATTATATCTCAAGCCAGGAGCTTAGAGACACTGAGAGACCAGAGTCCTACTGTCCCCTTGAGCTTCAGACCTTCCACAAGGCTGCACCTCTTAAAGGTACAAAGGCATCTTTCAGTACCACCACCCTGGGGATCAAAGCATTTGTACATGGATCTTTTAGAGACATTCAAGTTACACCCAAACCATAACAAGTCCTTTCCAAGCCATTTACCCACTCTATCATCCCCACATCATCCTCTTCCAGTTGTCAGCACCCATGTTCCATCTTGTGGTCAGGCATAGACTTGCTCAAGAAGGTCGCTGCAGCGTTCCTAACCCACTTTAAATGGTGATGGTAGAGAAAATGAGGAATTAAAATTCAGACCGGTTCCATGTAAATATCCATTGTTATTATGCATGCTGTCCTTCATTGTCATGGATCAATGAGTGGATTATATGCTATTTTTACTATTGGTAACTGTAGTATTTTAGGCAAACCACGTTTAAGTCAAAAGAGCTTTTGGAAAAGATGTAGCCTCATCCTTCACTTTATTGCCTTTGGATTTTATTGTGTGCTGAGTTCTCCTGGCCAGTGGGTGTCTCTGTTGGGTGGCTTCTGTTTGCCCCTCCAGATTTACTCACCATACTTCTCCACCTCCTCTTGGCCTCAGAAAGCTGACTTGTATGGAACATGCCAAAGGTTCTTTTGTCATCTGATTTCCCACTGGAGGTATCTCTGGCCAAGTGGCACTGAGGAGGACAGAGATGCAGGAGCCATGCAGGCTAAGCAGGTCCCGTGATCAAAGGTCACAGCTCCTGTCAGGTGACCCTCTCCCTACAAGCCCAGGTTCTGGTAACCACTCTTTCCCTGGGAGCCCCCAGGCCTAGGGATGATTCAGAAGCTCCCTGTCTCCAGCTTCAAGTACTCTCTTCTCCCTTGGGGTTTCCCTGTACCCTGCCCACACTTTCATAAATAATTTCTCTATAAGACTCTCCTCAAATATTTGTGTTTCCTGCCAAGATGACTGGTGGAGACCTAGCATCCTAGAGTGCCGAGGATCACATCTTTGGATAGGCAAGCTGGCTTGTGTTCCTTCAGACTAACCCCCGTCAGTCTTGAGTCCCTGAGTGACTGAGGTGGACAGAGGCATATGCTGGCTCATGCTGGACATGTGATATGAGTGACGAATGCATTTTTTGTGTTCAACCACTGAGATTGGGGAATTTCAGTACTGTACCATAGGGCAGCCTGTTTCCTCATTCCTAAATTGGGGAAATGATAGTACTAGCCTCTTTGCAGAGTTCTATGTTGACTAAATGAGATCAGAAAACATTTGTCATAGTGCCTGCTTCATGGCAAATCCCCAGTAGTTGTTGTTATTATTATCATTATTAGTTTTTATTCAGCAATTGGATTAAAAACAAGACAGTTCTGCTGGTCTGGAGGGGTGCATGCGCACTATGAGGCTAAAGTAGGGGGACTGCAAATTTGAGGCCATCCCAGACAACTTAGTGAGATCTTATCTTAAGATAAAATACAAAAAAGGCTGGATAAAGATAGCTTAGTAGTAAAGCACTTGCCTAGCATGTGTGAAACCCTTGGATCAATCCCTAGTACTGCAAGAAAACCCCAAAACAAAATGAAGAAACAATTTTAGTATATGTGCTGCAGAAGCAAGCACAAGAAGACCCTTCTTATGTCATAGAATGATAAACTAATAGAGTTTACATGAGGAGCCACAAATATTTTTAATGTAATACATAGTTGAGGAAACAACTTTTTAAAAAGCTTCACCTCTGAAGACTTTTCCTGTTGTGTCACCTGCTAGATCATATTTCCGGGTAAAGGAAAGAGGTTGACCTTGAATCTCATGATAACATCTGTGTTTTGAAACCGACATGTCCTTTAAGAACTACAGCTGATGGTCATGCATCCTCCTAATGTCTGGTTGTCATGATACAGAAGACATTTTGAAGTGCACATTATTTTTTTGCTTACTTTCAACAGATGAATTAAGCTTTTGGAAAAGGAAGAGATGTTGGAGGCAGCGCCATTATGAAATTTCCCTTGATCTATAGCAAAAATAGAGAAAGCAGAACAGCAAAAGAAAGCACACAGAGATAAAACTAAAAGATAAAACCAGCATCAATGATACATGGGTACAGGAGTAGTGGCTGCAAGGGACAAAGGAGACGTTGATCAGGGAACCCTGGAAATTCCTACCAATATTAACGCTCTAAGGAGGCATCCCTGCTGAGAGTAAAGAGCGCTGTGGGCCTATATGATAACAGTTAAAACTAGCAGGAGTTTCGAGGCCCAAATTTGTGGATGAGTCTAAGAAGTCTTGCGATTAAAGGCCACAGCAGTGATCTGGATCCTTGGCCCTCTCAGAAATATCGAGCAAAGATCTCTCTGGAAGGACAGTGAGCCCTGTTTAATAGTGTATTAATGGACCGAAACAATTTAGGTATTAATGGAGGAGGGGACTAGAAGCTGTGGAACTCAGAAAGTACTGGAGAGGTACTTACTGTATTTGTAATATTTCCATATAAAACCAGAAGAGGGAGCAGTAGAGCCACAAAACTAGGAAAGCCTTTCTGGGTCCACGTCTGCCCCTCATCCACCTGAATTAAATATGAACAGGAGAAATGGATTGAAGTTGAACTTCATGGAAACATAGGAAAAAATTAGGATAATCCCATGAATAATAAAGCTACAGATAATGAAATCATATCAGAAAAATGGGGCCCTCCAAAGGGTGAACTTCGTTCATTTTCCAAATGAAGCCAAATAAAGAAAATGATAGAGGTTAGAAATAACTCCATGCATCAGGGCTATAAAATTAAGAAAATATAGAAATGAGAGAACTAAACAATATGAAAAGAGAGCTGACAGAAGGGAATGGAAGGGAAACCTAACAGACTGAGAAAAAAGGACATTCCTTTTCGAATGAGCAAAATTAAACAATAGTGTCAGGGAATGTGTATTTGGGTAATTAAACTATAAGGAAATGCAAGGAAATGGCTACTGTAAAATTCATGTAGCCGGGCATGGTGGTGCATACCTGTAATCCCAGCACTCTGGGGGCTGAGGCAGGAGGATTGCTATGAGTTCGAGGCGAACCTGGGCTACATAGTACATTCAAGGCCAGCCTGAACTGTATAGCATGACCCTGTCTCAACAAAATTTTTTATGTGGTTGCTCCTTTGGAGCAAAGAAAGGAGTGGGAAGATTTCTAAGAGGGTGGGTAAATTCTGCTTTTTGAACTATATGGTAGTGACAAGACTCACTGCCTTATAATAACTCACCAAATGAGGCATTTGTTTGGTTTGGTTTTCTAATTATATCAGTTAGTAGTGCCTTTGGTTACAGATAACAGAAAAACCTGTCTGATACTAGCTTGTACAAACAGGTCCTATTCTGGGTTACAGGCTGATGTTGTGGCTTCTGGTCCAACCAAGGATCTGGCACTGGATTGTTGTAGCACACTGTCTTTGGGTTTTGGTGGTATGTCAGTTTTCCCACAAAGGCAAGCTGGCTACATATATCTAGCCCCTCTGCCTTCTTCCACCAGGAAGGGGTGACACTACCTATAAGGGGACCTAAAACCCTTTTGTGGGGTCCATCAGTTAAAAAGTGATTTATTAATAGCGATAATACATTATTGGTCTTTCTTACTCTTGTCTCTAACAGCATACAGTGGCATTTTCAAGAAGCTGCATAACGTGTGATAATACCTATCTGTAGATATGAGAATCATCTGTCTTCTGTTAATCCAGATGTTTAAAGAGATTTGTAAAAATGTGAACAATTGGCTCTCTTCTCACTTTTTTGTTTTAGAAAATATAATGTTTAAAGACATTTCATGTTAACACAAAATAAGCCATTAATTTTAAATAAATAAATATTTATTTTTTTCCTCTTTCAGTCAATTCAGTACATATCAGTAGCTGTGATCCTCAAGACAAGCTCTTTGGGGGAAGCACAATAATTTTTAAGGTTGTAAAGGAGTTCTGAGGCCAAAAGTTTGAAAACCATTGATCTGGAGAACAGCTGATTTCTAAATGTTCAAAAAATATGAAAACTATGGAAAATAAAGACTTGCATTATTTCACAAACCTTTATGACATTCTTCTCTGTGCCCCAATCTTTTGCTGGTTCTGGGAGTGCAGTGGTAGGCAGCCCAGCAGAAAAGCCAAGCCATGGCAATGGTGATTTTTTTTTAAAGCTCTGTACCAGGTATTTTCAGAGTGTAGTAGGATTACAGTGGAAAACGAAGTGTTTGGACACAGGGTCATTAGCCTCAAGTATCACATCATGTCTCACTCAGATTAGGAAGATTGCTATTTTCTTTTCTGTCAGAGACAAACAGTCCATCTTTGACTCCCTCACTGTCTCCTGAACTACCCAGTTCCATCTAAGGGAAGAATTGCCGCTATAAATCCATAATCGGTGGCTTAAGGGCAGAAACAAAAACTAACTTTTGTGCTTTGGCCTGACATTTCAGTGACTGTGCTGGCGATATTTAACGAGCTGCATGCAGATGTGGACCTTTATGCACTTCTGTTTGGAGAGAGTGTCCTTAATGACGCTGTTGCCATTGTACTGTCCTCGTAAGTAGTGATGAGTCTACTAGGGAAGAGATAGTTTCATTTCTTGCATGTTTGGGGCCAAATTCAGAGGGCTGTTTTATAAGTGTTGAATATGGAATTGCATATTTTGCTAAATAAGATTTATCATTTTTGTTCATAAAGTTGTGGTACTTTGTCTACTTGGCAGCAATCAGAATGCTGATTACAGCATAACACAGTGACTGCAGATGAAATTAAATGACTTTGTCCTGAGCACTGGTTGGCAGAGTATAGATACCTATGTTTGTTGATATTTTCAGTTACAGGAGTCCCCAGGACCAGGGATATGTTTTGGGACCGCTAGTACATGTCTGAAGCCACATATAGTACTGAACCCTCTGCATACTATATGTTTTTCCTATGTGTACATATGTATGATAGAGCCTAATTTATAAATTAGGCAAAGGAAATGATGAACAATAATAACTAACAATAAAATACACAGTAATAAAAGTTACGTGAATGTGAGGTCTCTTTTATTTCAAAACAGACCTGAAATTGTACCTTTCACCTTTTCATTTAAAGGAAGCATTTTTTTTTGGCTCCTCTCTGGCATGTCTAAATTGCCAGAATCACTACTCTTGCTCTCTGGGTTGCTTGAACACAAGCGGTGACTAGCCGGCGAGTGGAGTTTACAGTCAGGATACACTGGACAAAGGAATGCTCTTCATCCTAAGCAGGATAGCAGTGGATGATGTGATATTTCATCATGCTACTCATAATGATGCACACTTTAAAGCTTAGAAACTGTGTATTTCTGGAACTTTTCAGTTGATATTTCAAACTGTGGTTGACTTCAACTGAAGCCAGGGCAAGTGAAATTCTGCATGAGGGGAGGCTACTGTACCTTGGCATAAAACCAGGGCAGTCTTAACTCTCTTTTTTTTTATTCTAGGTCTATTGTTGCCTACCAGCCAGCAGGGCTGAACACTCACGCCTTCGATGCCGCTGCCTTTTTTAAGTCAGTTGGCATTTTTCTAGGTATATTTAGTGGCTCTTTTACCATGGGAGCTGTGACTGGTGTTGTAACTGCTCTGATATCCTTTTTGTAGTTTCTGACCCTGCCTGGGTATGCATATGTGACGTTATACTTTCCAAGAGAATATTCTCAGATCTTCCTTTCAGATCAGAATATTAAATGGGTTGTTCCACTGGAATTTGGTGGTTCCTAAAATGTGTCCCTTTGGTGATACATGTTGGTTGGGCCTCTTGCTAAGAGTCTAGGCTAAACATTGGGAATGCAACTCTAGACTCCACTTTGTCCTCCCGATTGCTTTTTCTTCCCTTTTCATGAACCAGTTGGAATATCAGTTTTAGGGGGATGAAAAGAGATGAGGAGTCCTAAGAGGCTGGCCATCAGGAACCATTGGCTGGGAAGTCCTTTAGCCCTAGATTGCAGCTGCACAGAAGCCTTCCTTCCATAAGTAAGGATGGCACAATCTTTAGTTCAAAACAACCAACTGAAGTCCTTGACAGGATGCCAACGTGACCAAGTTTACCAAGCTGCACTGCTTTCCCCTGCTAGAGACGGCGCTCTTTTTCCTGATGTCCTGGAGCACATTTCTCTTGGCAGAAGCTTGCGGATTTACAGGTGGGTTGTCTATACTTTTGGGTCACCCGCCCCCCATGTAGTGGGAGATGTGGGTACTTGAGAAGATGGAAGAATTCCTAGATAGCAGCTTCATGAAGTTAATTCACTGCTCACCGAGTATCCATATGGAGGACTGCCGAGCAAGACTAGTGTTTTGCCTGAAGCATTGAATTTCCAAAAATTATATACTCTTTAAGGATAAAGTTTATTATTCCAAACTTAGTTATGTTTTTGCATGCTCATTCTAACTATAAAGTAGATGTTTTTCTGCAAAGGTTCTGAATATACTCAAATCTTATTTGTATCCTTCCCTAAATTGCTATGTGATTTTACAAATAGCAGTAACTACTAAATATGTATCTTTTTTCAAAGCAATTTTGCATAAACTCAAATAAGTGTGAACACAGTTTTTCATCGTTTTGTCTCTGGGCTAGTTAATCATTGTTTTTCAATAACATGCATTTTTTTTTGTTGTGAGTTTCATATACAGATTCAGCATCCCAAAATGCTTGGGACCAGAAATGTTTTTTATTTCAGATCTTTAAAATTTTATAATATTTGTATATACACAATGAGGTATCTTGGGATGGACCCAAGTCGAAATATAGAATTCATTTGTTTTACAATGTACATTATACACAGAACCTGAAGATAATTTTATGTATTATTTTGAATAACTTTGTACATGAAGCAATTGTGTATTACAGCTAAAGTGGGTGGGAGAGATTTTTCTTCCCTGGGGACATGAATAAGCTTGGTGTTGTGCACTTGTGCTTTGACTATGGCGAAACGCATGAAGTGAGGTGTGAAATTTTCCATGTGTGGCATTATGTGTGTGTTGGCCTACATTCTGGTTGCTGAGACAGAATGCCGACAGGTGTAATTTCAAGGGGGAGAGGTTTATTTTGGCTCATGGTTTCAGTCTATGCTTGACTGAGTCCGAGGCAGAAACCTCATGGTGGAAGGGTGCGGCCCAGGACAGCTGCTCAGCTCCGGGGATCTGAGAAGCAGAATACAGGGCAAGAGCCAAAGAGGCCAGATACAGTCTCCAAGGTCACACCCCCACGACTCACCGAGATGCACCCAGAAGTGTGCTTTACTAATCTATGCATCTCTCAAACCAGTCAAGTTGACAGTCAAGATTAACCACCACAATGTCAGTAATCAAAATGTTAACAGATTTTGGAGCAGTTCAGATTTTCAAAGTCGAGATGCTCAACCTATAATATTAGTGGGATTAATCATGTGCTTTCATTTCCTCTCATTCTCTCATTTAAAAAAATCACTGAAGCTGAGTGTGGTGGCACATGCCTGTAATCCCTGAGCTCTAGGAGGCTGAGGCAGGAGAACTGCAACTTTAAGCCCAGCCTGGACAACACAGCAATTTAGCAAGACCCTTTCTCAAAATAAAAAGGAACTGGGGATATAGCTCAATACAAAGACCCTGGGTTCAGTCTTCAGTACTACAATAAATAAATAAATACATACAAGTTAATAACTTAATTTTTTAAAATTAAAAATAAGAAAATCACTGGTTTTCCCATTAGAAAACTTAAGTATAATTGCTACATAAAGTTCAGGTACTTAGAAAATAGTTGTATCAAAGCACAGCAACATATCTTTATATGTACCATACAAAAGTGTCTGACTTCCTTAAAATTTCAGTTTTCTCTGAATGTATACCCCCAAGAGCTTCATTTGCCTTGCATGACAAAATGGTTCTCATTAACCAGAAATCTAGGTCATTAGGCCTTGTATAAATGGGATAGTACTCCCAGTCTGTTTGTCCTGAAGCCTGAGTCTATGCAAAAATACAAAGCATTGATTTGATATTAAATCCATTCATTTTGGAAAATCAGAGGGATATGAAAAAAATGTGCAATGAGCTCTCACAGTGTTCTTGAGGGAATGAATGCTATATGCCAACCACAGATGGCAAATTCAGGAGGGGTTCACAAGACAGTGAATGCTCTTAATGGTCGTGTAAGAGAGGGAGTTGGTGAGCTTGGCCTTGAAGCAAGAAAGACAGAGTTGGACGAGGAAAGGTGGAGAGGAGCGGTGAGGGCCAGAGGGAGCTTTCCGAAATAGGATACTCAAAGCTTAGCAAGTTGGCTACGCTGGGCTTCTAACCTTAACTTTTGTTTCACCAGGGTTTTTTCCTGCCTCTTTTTTTCCATTGATTTTTAAAAATTTCTTGACAGGTGTTGTCGCTGTCCTGTTCTGTGGAATCACACAAGCGCATTATACCTACAACAATCTGTCAGTAGAATCAAGAAGTCGCACCAAACAGGTGAGAGAGGGCCTTGTTACTGATGCATCACTCGGTAGTACTGTGCAAGGAACAGGAGCTCAGGATTTATGGCTTCTTTTTCTTTTCTCCATGCAGCTGTTTGAGGTGCTGCACTTCCTCGCAGAGAACTTCATCTTCTCCTACATGGGCCTGGCGCTCTTTACTTTCCAGAAGCATGTGTTCAGCCCTGTCTTCATCATTGGCGCTTTTGTATCCTTTTCTCGTTCTGCCATTTTCTGCACAGAGAGGTAACCACCGCTAGGGAGCTCTACTTTTTTTATTATTATTTCTGTTTTGCATGGGTGACAAGGCCATGCTGGCTCATGGTATTTTTATAAGGAAAAAAAAAAAAGGTCTAAGTGGTGTTTCACAAAACCAGATGTGTTTGATTTTAAGGACTGGCATTTATTCCTAGGTGATCCTTCCTGCACTTTCTGTGTAAGCTGGCCTTTCCTTTAAGCTGGTGCTTCAGAGGTGATTGTTTGTTTTGTAGAGTTCTTTCTGGATAAAGCTAACAATTGGTAACCATGTCCATTCTCAGGATTATTTTTGACATTTCACTGCCATGTAAATTCTAATCCAGGAAGCTCTCTGATTTAGGCAACTAGAAGGCTGCATTCCTCTTGCTTCCAACTGCATACCCAGCGTGCGCACCCCTTCCTCATGCCACCTGGGGTGCCCACAGGCAGTGACCATGCTTTCACCTGAGCTATCCTGCTGCTATGGATCACTGTGGGAAAGACTCCTTTTGTTTTCTTTTGTTTAAAGGAATGGAGGAAATAGAAGAAAAGAGAAAATGGAAAAATACTTGGTTTCTTGACTTGGTCCCACAGTAAATGCAGTTTTTTGAAGGGAGACATGATTTTTCTGGGGAGGGTGACTTCTCTTGGGTGAGGAGGGATGTGAGTGCCTAGCAATGGATTGTAGCTGAGGGTTTCACTCATTTGGCTTCAGATACTGTTGTTTCCATTAAGGTGTGCTTTTCTGGGGCTGTCTTCAAGATCCTGAGCAGAAGTCTCCTACTGTTGGATGTTTGCCTTCCTTCTTTCTGAGGCCTCCTGGAAATCCTTAGCCTTTATAATATTGGCAAAAATGAGTGTTTGTTTTTACTTCTGGGCTTTTATTTCTTGTGCACAAATGACTGGCACTCCGCAAGCTGCCAGATAGGGATGGCACTGGAATCCTTCTAATTAGAGCGTCATATGCTTAAACTGGTGGCTCATTTCTTGGATTCACACACGCACCAGACTAATAGCTTAAAATATGCAGGGTTTGCGATTTTCTTCTTTATCCAGAAAGACCTGGCACATTGTCCTGGTTTATGTTCCCAGCGTGGCATCCTGTGAGAGATACTGAGCACACAGCCTTTGTTTATAGACGATGGCCTATCAAAGGGTGAGTTGGGTCGTCTTAGGAATTGTAAATGCTGCTGGCCATTTATGGACTTCTCCTTCACCTCTGGGATAGAATATACTTGATAAGCACTGCATGTTTCCATTTGGTAAAAACAAACAAAAAATGGAAAGAAAGAAAAAGAAAGAAAGAAAGAAAGAAAAAGAAAGAAAGAAAGAAAGAAAGAAAGAAAGAAAGAAAGAAAGAAGCAAAACACTGCATGCTTTACCCTGGAGGAAGCAGAAGATAGTCGTACAGCCCCCACCCCCTACAAAACAGCTGCAGCTCCTGCAGCTGGTGTTTTGCCAAAACGGAAGTTCCCTGTTCCTCTGGCTCCCACGGGGGTTTTCTTCTCTGACCAGGGAAGTGGTTAGCTCTCTCTGCTGGGCACAATCTAAATTTGGCAAGTGACAGATGACCAGTTTCCCTGAATTCTTTACTTTTCATGGTAGAGTTCCTTTTCCACGCTCTTCCACCTTTTATACCCCCAAAAGACATTTCAGCCATTTAGGTAAAGCAATCACCCTGTGTTGATATTTTTAGGTGATCTGAAGGTCTTTTGTGAGATAAATACTACAAATTTCCCCACATCTTATTTTTAGGCTCTTCCTGGGCTTTGGAGTTCCATGTTTAGTTGCAAGTGAAGTTTGCGTACTGTTACCCAACCAACTTTATAGTTTGTCTCCAAGGTGAGAAATTTTTCTCTCTTGTGATTTTTCTTCCAGGAGAGCCCAACATGCTGTTTGTTTCTCTCAACTCCCCACTTCTGCCATGACACTTTAGCTCATTTCTTGACTCATTTTTAGATAGATTTAGGAATTCATCACTATGGATTAAGTCAAAAAGGTACAACAACGTGTTTAACAAACTAGAAATTATCTTTGAGAACCAGGAAGTGGGGAAAATTGGCCAAATGATACCTGTTTGTTGCTGAGAAATTTGTTTAGACTGGGAAACTAGACAGCCTGGTTTCTTTGGGCAGCTGTCCAAATCATGGCATCCCTAAAATTCTCTGCTCAACCAGAATTTGTGTGGAAGTGCTATACTGGAAACCTATTGGACCCTTAACCTCCGCCTGGTTGTCAGGTTGCCATCTTCCTGGGAAGAGCTGCGCATATCTACCCGCTCTCCTTCTTCCTCAACTTGGGCAGAAGGCATAAGATTGGCTGGAATTTTCAACACATGATGATGTTTTCAGGTAAAAACAAAAAGTATAAGTGTATAGAGAATGACTTTTATTTGGCAAGCAATGATAGTGTGATGAAAATATAATTGATAAGGTTCACAAAAAGACATTTAGCGTTCACATGTACATGTTAACCTTATAGTGTTGATTTGCAAACCGAACTAACTAAATGTAGACATTCTTCACTAAAATATTGCATATCTATTTCATCTCTACAACCCAAGGGACTATAACTATGCAGAGTGCTTGATTGTTTTCTTGTAGATATTTATAACCCTTAAGCTTCAAAAGGACTCCAGACCTAAAATTAGAAAGAAAATAGCTTGTGATGAGAAAGAACAGGAGCCATGTCACTCAGCACCTCCCAGCAATAGTATCTTCTCTTGTAAAATCATGAAATTGAATGAACTCAGTGAAGTCCCACTTTCTGTGGAACAAAAGGAGTGAAGTTACACTCACAAAACAAGATAAACTCCAAGCCAGAATTTAACAGCTGTGATAGTTCTGCTTGATTTACACTGTCACTCCCATGCCCTCCTATTCACTGCGAAGCTGTGAGGCCTGGAGAAGCCACTGAGGGAACAAAGGACAGTAAAGAATGATGTGGAGGTAAAGAAGGGAAAAGTGCTTGGTATAAGAAGATGATGTGGTGAGGGTGGTAAACGTCAGCTTTTATAGACATAAGAACAAGATTAGAGCATTTCTGCAGAACAGAGGGAGAAGATATTTGGGGTAAAAGGCCACTGCAACCCTTAAAAGTACCTCTGTCCTGTGGGGATGGAGGAGGGACACTGTACCAGACTGTAGAACAAGTAGCAGCTGGCTTCACTCTATGCAGTGGTTTTTGGGGGACCTAATGGAGTCATACTGAAATCGCACCAACAGACACTGCTCCATGAAGCACACACTCTGTCCTGTGCTAACTTGTATGTGAACATGATCTGCAGCCTGTGATGATTATGTTTCACTGTGTCAAATGTTTGTTAACATCCTCTTTTTAGAAGGCACAATTTTGGGTTGTGCAGGATGCAGAGCCCAACCTCCCTCCAGGAGCTCACAGACCGCTGGAGAGAGGATGATGAATTGTGCAAAGTGGTGTGAAAGATGTGTGGACAAGAAGACAGGGCTCGAGGCTCTTGTTCTAAAGGGGGTAGCCTTCAAAATGGTCTTGGAAGACGTGGCACTTCAGGAGGAAGCGGTGTGGGGAGGGAGAGACAAGCATTGCCCTGGTATTTTTTTTAAAGAAAGGTAGCAGTCTGGTTGAAGTATCTGACATATGAAGTGACACAGAAAGAGGATGAGACTAGAAAAGAAAACCGTGACTAAACTAGAGATTTGCAGCCTTTTGGCCGCATCAGAATTTCCTGTTGGGCTTGTTAAAGCACCGATTGCAGGCCCTGCCACCAGAGTGTGTGATTCTGGGGGTGGACCCCAAGAATTTGCATTTCTAGCACATTCTCAGCTGCTACCGCTGGTTTAAGGACAACACTTTGAGAACCACTGTTGCAGAGTGGAGACTACAGAGAAGCTCCAAAGCTTTATCAAAAAGTTTGAGTTTTACTCAGAGGCAGCTGGGCAACATAGAGAGTTTGACAAAGAAAGGCAGTGACAAGCTCCTGCTTAAATATTATGAAAATGGTGGTGGATAAGATGAAGATGACTTAGAGATGACTGTCATCTATGTAAACTTAAAATATGATTAGCAATAAAAAAGCTGATTAAATTTTAAATTATTGCAGTAAAAGACACATTGCCATTAATCCCCCTCAAAATGCTCCCTCTCACTTCAAACATACTTATCCCAATGGTCTTGCCACTTTCTGAAGCAGTTCTGGAAGTCCTCTTTTGTGAGTATTTTTAGTTGTACTGTCACGGCTGCCTCGATGTCCTGAACCTATTCAATGTATTTACCTTTCCTGGTCACTTTGACTTTGGTGAAGAATCAGAAGTTGCACAGTGCCAGATCCAGTGAATATGGTGGATGAGAACACAGAATGTATGAGCCTGCTTTTCTGTTGGATGACACTTGGCAGCAGCATTCACAACATTTTTGATCACACCTCACAAAGACATGGAAGAGAACTTCCAGAAGTGCCTCAAAAAGTGACAAGGATGATGGGATATCTGTGTTTGAAGTGAGGGGGACTAATTTGAGGTAGATTAATGGCAGTGTGTCTTTTACTATAATATTTTTAAAATTTACATATTCACTGTATATTTTGATCACACTGTATATGTTATTTTCCTTACCAAAAGACTGAGAAGTACACCATGCTGTTTAAAGATAAATAGAAAAACAAGTATTATTTTATGGTGGGATAAATCTGGTTCAAAAGAACTCATTCTTTAAGGCTTTGAAATACCTGAGGTTCTACTCTCATATTGCTTATAGTGTTTACATAATAAAATAAAGAAACATATCACACATAGTTTCTCTCTGAACCCAGTTCTCCAGTTCTCTTCTTTGAGATAATATCACTGTTAGAGCTTAAATATTGACCACTGACCATCAGCGGAGTAATTTAGCTATAAATATTTCAGTAGAACAGGTTAATAGAAAGTATCCACTTTGCTCTGCTTTTTAGGTTAACTTTTATTGAGTAACTCTTTTTTAGTAAATTATGGTGAATCTTGCAGATTGTATTAATTATGAAATTATTGGAAAAGGGGAAAATGTATAGGCAGATACAGTAGTCTAACTTTTCATTCTCTCATACAATGTATACATATTCTTCTCCATGGTGAAATAAGAATTTATGCCTGGTGATTGAAAAATGTGATGGGTGTTGAATTTTTAAGAAATTATGCAATAAAAGATGCAATGTCATTAGTCGCCTTCAAAATAGTCCCCCGCGCTTTGAACACACTTACCCGTTGTTGTTCTTGTCACTTTCTGAAGCAGTTCTGGAAGTCCTCTTTCATGAGTGTCTTCAGTTGCACCATCATGGCTGCCTCAATGTCCTGAATTGATTCAAAACATTTACCTTTCATGGTCATTCTCACTTTGGAGAAGCGCCAGAAATTGCATGGTGCCAGATCTGGTGAATGAGATGGATGAGGACATATCGTAGTGTTTTTACAAACCTGCCTTTATGTTGGATGACACTTGACAGCACCATTCACTAAATTTTTAATCACATCTCCTAAAGACATAAAAAGGGACTTTCAGAACTGCTTCAGAAAGTGGCAGGATTGATGGGATAAATGTATTTGAAACTAAGGGGAGTATTTTGAATGGGTTAATAGCAATGTGTCTTTTTTTGTAATCAGTTTTAAAAATTTAAACATTCATTGTACACTGTGCTCATAACTCATATACAATACTAAATATGTACCGAAGACTGGCTTCTGTCTTTACTATAAAACAAATTATGAGCATGGTGTGAGGAAGGAACAAAAAGGTTTAGAAAGATATACTCTGAAACATTAAAATGTTAGTGTTAATCAAAAACCCATTAATGTAGATAAGAATCAGCAAACCACAGCTCCTGGGCTAAATCTGGCTGCTGCTTGTTTTAATATGCCACACCAGGTAAGAATGCCTTTTTTTCAGATGAGTATTTGCAATCTATTTGATGATAAGGAACATAAACTTTGAAACCCAACTAAGCAAAATGTCCCCTCCTCCAAAGAATCCCATTCTTTCAAAATATACTCAATTACTGTTATTATATTCTTGGTTTTCCCCAATAACAGTATGTGGCAGTCTGGTTTCAATCTTTTACATAAGTACCTGTACAGCAGCCTTGATTATGCTTCTTGGCTCACAAAACTATAAGCTGGGTGTGGTGGTGCACACCTGTAATCCCAGCACTTGGAAAGCTGATGCAGGAGGATCTCCACAAGTTCAAGGCCAGCCTGGGCTACATGGTGAGTTCAAGGCCAACCTGGACTACACAGGGAGACCATGTCTCAAAACAAATCTAAAATAATTATTATCTGGCTCTTTAGCAATGCAGATGCTGTATGTGTATGTAGCAATACCAGACAATGAATATATTCATTATGTCTCACAAATAAGTATTAATGAAAATGTTTTTTAAATAACTGTCAACCGCTGATGTAGGCTAGGCCTTTTCTTTTTCATTTCTCTGTGTGGCTTCCCCCTTTGCTAAGGAAATGCTACTTTTTTTTCTTTTTTTTTTTTTTTTTTTTTTTTTAACAAATGTGCACTGGAGACATTCATACCTAGCCTTTGTTTTAAGTTTATTTTGACTGTGTAGTATTTGGGAGGTGTTGGATCACAGACTTAGAGAGATTTTATGATTTTATTGCTTATTTGTATTTTTTTACTTGAGGTTACTAGCAGGCGAATCATTTACTAACAGGATTAGTATTCTAAAATATGCTATACAAAGCAGTGCAGTGTGCTTCTCATTGTGTTTGGGAACTTTGCTAAAGACAGCTTCAAAACGGAGAAAACTATCTTTACGGTTCTTTCTGAGTAAAACAGCTGGGCTCCCAAAGCACAGATGGCTAGAGTTTATTAGCCCCAGACGGCGGCAGGGATTTTGAGGAACCATTATCAGTTATCACCAATAGGTCTTCCATTTGGGTCCCTGCAGGCCTCCGGGGGGCGATGGCATTTGCATTGGCCATCCGGGACACAGCATCTTACGCTCGCCAGATGATGTTCACGACCACCCTCCTCATCGTCTTCTTCACTGTCTGGATCATTGGTGGAGGCACGACGCCCATGCTGTCATGGCTTAATATAAGGTCAGTTTGGAACCAAGGCCAGTTCTGTATCCATAGATGTTGACTATGAACACTCTGGAGAATGTTCAGTGTGCCGTAAAGGTTATGCTACTACTTAGTTCACGGAAGATTTTCAAAGTCTCTTGTTTTTTTGCAGGTGAATGGGGCAGATTAAAAATTGTTTTAAAAAAATGGGTGTGTTGTGACTTCCCAGGAGAAAAAAATATAATCATTAAAATTTGCATCAATATAAGCACACAAAGAACTAGAAACACCTGAATTTTGCTGGAGCAGTGACATTAGGGCAAGAACTCAACAAGTCTTAAAGCTGCAGGAGACAGAATAAACCTATAGCTGTGTCCAGTATTTCATATTCCTTTGTAGTGAAACCTAGGACCTGAAGAAAAAGCTCATCATCCAGAAATAAAAAGGAATAATTAGAGTTTTGTTTTATCATGAAATTGTGTACTGGTTTTCTTCTTGCTGGGGTGCACAAAGAGGTAACATTTCCTGTATAACCCTCATCTGTTGCAACCTCATAGACTTCTGCATGTGGTTTTGCAGCAGTGACAGGACAGAAAGGCACTGACATGAGTTTGATTTGTTTTAAAGAAAATTTGACTTCCAAACAGTGTTTGTGAACTCTAGCCCTAACACTGGAAAAGAGTTCCAGAGACGTACAGTCCAACTCTGGCACTGGTTTAACACAAGCCCCTCATATCTTTGGACTGAATTTGCCTCAGCAATAAGTGAAGGTGCTCTCCCAGGTTGCCTCTAGGGCCCTGTAGCTCCAACTGTTGCACTTTGCATTTCTGGAGGTGCTCTGACCACCTGCCACGGATTCAGGTTGCAGAGGGTAGCTAAGGTTGAATCAGGACCAAGACACTCAGGTAGTGCAGATATAAGGAATCGTTGTCCGAAAAGCCACAAGGTGGCGATGGTTTTTCTTTTTCTGCTGGCTTATACAGTAGTTATATTTCCTTCTGTAGATTTTAAAATGCATGGGAAAATGAACAGGGATCTCCCAGTCGGCCTTGGAGTTGTAGAGAAAAGTAGATTTTGATAAACTAGTCTTTTCTACCTGAAACTTTTGTATTGATGTTAGGCAGGAATTGCCAGGCTTGACCACTGCCAACTTCACCATTTCTGGACTAACATGTCTCAGCGTGCAGCTCCAGATGGGGGCTTGTTGGTGACATCCATAATTGTCACCAACACTTGTGTTGTAGGCGTGTTTGAGATGCTATGTATATATTAAGATACTTCTTATAACGTTCCTATAAGAGATAATACTGTTACTTGTATTTCAGTGTTGGGGAAACTGAGACACAAAGCAACAGCTCGCCCAAGGTCACAGAACTCTATGTGGATGAGCTAGGATTCGAACCCGGGCGTTCTTGCCACAGAAGCCCTACACTTGACTGTTGTGCAGTACTGCCTCTAAGGAATACAGCTGTGCTAAAGGCTACTTTAATATCATAAAATTTGGGATGATTAGAATTTCAACTTCCTGGCATGAATCTCAAGGGTTAGATTAAAGAAAATAGTCTGTCTATAGGAATATGAACCTGAAGAAGAGAATTTATAGTCTTATGGCTTTAAAGCTGAGACATAGATTGCACCGTCTTTGTTCTGTGTGGCAGGATTAGGACAAGAAAGTTGGTTGACCCTGCACACAGTTGAGAATCTTTGCATTCTGTGACCTTTGAGATTATTTCCTATTCCTATTAGTCTGGTCACATAGTAGGTACATGGATGCTCAGCGCCTGATTAAGTCATACTCATTTTTTCATACTATTTGATAAATCATTTTCTATTTTCCAATACCCTCCAAACATATCTAGGGCCAAATAATTTTCCATTGAGATTAGAGAGGTGACCTATTGGTACTCCTCATGACCTTTTCCAAAAAGCAAGCCATTAAAACAGACCTACCAAGAGCTGAGAGCAGGGGAAGGTTTCCCTGAGACACTCAAGAGCAAGGATGCCCGAACTAGGCTGGGAGCTGATAGGAAGGGGAAATTTATGATGACTGTTGCCAGCAGTGACTGCTCTAGGGGTCATGTTGTGACTCCTTACTATGTGCTAGGTATTCTGTTCTAAGTGCCTTCTGAATACAGCCAGCCCTAATGTCTGTGGTTTCTGCATCTGCAGATGCGGTCAACCAGAGATTGAAAAATATTTTTAAAAGTAAATTGCATCTGTACTGAACATGCAGACCTTTTCTTGTTATCATTTCCTAGACAATTCAACTTTATGTAGCATTTACATTGTGTTAGATGGCATAAATAATCAAGATATGATTAAATATATCCAGGAGGATGTGCATAGAGTCTATGCAAATACTATGCCATTTCATATAAAGGACCACCAGTTACATATTCATGCATATATACTGTTACCCTGATTTTGTGAGCATTTTATGGATGAGGAAACCAAAACTTAAAGGGCTAGGTACCTTACAGTTAGTCTCACAGTTATACAATGATGGGGCAAAGGTTTTATGCAACTATGAAGTCTAAATTCTTTTATAGTCTACTAGAACACCTGCATATAGCACCAGATTCTGATTTTGTGGGACCTGGTACTTTTGTACAGTTTAGAAAGCTACGTTAAATTCCTCATACATATTCAGATCAGTGTTTTCTGAAACAATATATATGTGATTTTTTGAATAAAATGAGAAATTATAGCTCATAATAAGTGCAGATATCATAAAATTAAAACAATCATGCCAAAAGTTATTTATTAGTTGCCTATACAGGTTGTGTAGCTCTAATCCAAAAATTCAAAATTTGAAATAGTCTAAAATCTAAAACTTTTTGAACACCATGATACTCAAAAAAAAAGTTCCAGTTTTAAGGCATTTCAGATTTCCATTTAAGGATGCTCAACTGGTAAAACCTTTGTGAATATTCCGAAAAATCCCTCCAAAACCTGAAACACTTCTGGTCCCAAGCATTTCAGATAATGGAACTCAATCTGTAATACTTTTCCTACTTTTAAAAATCTGCCTGCTTTTTCATTCCCCCTTCATGTAATCGTTTTGTGGTATGATGTACCGAGAAAATAGAAATATAAAGCAGTGTTTTCTGTAGCATAGCTGATCAAAACTTGCCAGTACTGTATTGATATTTCAGAAAAGATTCATTCGGCTTCACTACTCTTTATTGATAGTATCATAAAAATTGTGAGACTTGCTAAATTTGAGAAAAACCTCTCTTTCAAATTTCTTTCACATGTGAACTAGAAGATTTTGGGGGATAAAAGTTTTCTCCAGCATAATGTTTGAAAAACTTTTTATTTTGAAGTAGTCTCAGATTCACAGGAAGTTGTAAGATAGCACCGAGAGGTTCCATGTATATTTTACCTAGTTTTTCCTGCTGGTTCCACCTTACACAGACATAGTACAGGATCACAATCAGGAACTGACATAGGCTCAAGGCATGTGCATAGTTCTGTGCCATTTATCACACATAGATTTAGCATTACAGTTACGATACAAAACTGTCCCATTAGCATGAAGATATCATGAGTTCTGCCCTGCATGTCACACCCATTTCCTTACTTTCCAGCATCCCTAACCCCTGGCAATCTCTAATTTGTTTTCTATTACTATAATTTTGTTACTTCCAGAACTTTATAAAAGTGGAATCATATAGCATGTGATCTTTTGAGATTGGCTTTTTCTCCTACTCAGCATAATGCCGTGGAGATCCACATAGGTGGTTGTATCTATCAAGAGTTTGTGCCTTTTTATTGCTGAGTCCGAGGTATGGATGCACTAGAATTTGTTTGACCATCCACCCAAAGGACAGCTAAGTAGTACAAAGCTCCTGTGAATAGACTTTTGCATTTGCTAGACCAGACTGTAAGTGTATATTTAGTTTGGTAAAAGACTGACAGTTTCCTAAATTGGCTGTCCCACTTTACATTCCCAGTAGTAGGATATGAGAGATCCAGTTTCTCGGCATCCCTGTCAGAAGTTGGTGTTATTACCGTTCTTCATTCCAGCTGTTCTCATAGGTGTGTGGAAATATCTCAGTGTGGTCTTGATTTGCATTTCTCTTGTGGCTAATGATATTGAACATCTCTTCATGTGCTTATTTGCCATTTATGTACCTTCACTGGTAAAATATCTCTTCAGGTCTTTTGTCCCTTTTTGAATCTAATTTTTAAAATTTAGTTTTAAAAGTTCTTTATTCTAGATAATAGTCTTTTGTCGCATACCTGATCTGTAAAGATTTCCTCCTAGTCTGTAGCTTGTCTTGAAATACTTTTAATAGAGTTTGTAGAACAGAAGTTTTAATTTTGGTGAAATGCAATCTATCTTTTTTCTTTTATGGATTAGGAATTTGGTGTCATGTCTAAGGACTCTTTGTCAAACCCTAGGTCCTAAAGATTTTTTTTCTGTGTTATCTCCTTAAAACTTTTTAGTTTTATGGTTTACATTTAAGTCTGAGATTCCTTTTGAGTTACTTTTATATAAGATGTGAGGTATAGGTTGAGATTTTATTTTATATACCTATGGCTGCCCAGTTGTTCTAGTATGATTTATTGGAAAGACCATCCTTAGGGCTGGGGATTTAGCTCAGTGGCACAGCACCTGCCTGGCAAGCGCAAGGTCGTGAGTTCAGTTCCCGGTACCAGAAAAAAAAAAAAAAAAGAAAAGAAAGAAAGACCATCCTTATTCTACTGAATTACTTGTGCTCCTTTCTCAGAAATCAGTTGTCTGTTGCATAAGAACCTGTTTTTATTCTGTTCCATAGATTTATATATCTATCCTACCAAAAATGCCATTTTGATAATACTATATTGATAATTGGAGTTACACAGTAAGCCTTGGCATTAGGTAGAGGGATTCTTGCTTTATTCTTCTCTTTCAAAATTGTTGCTACTTTAGCTCTACTCCCTGTGAATTATGGAGTAAGCTTGTCTGTATCTAAAATAAAGTCCTTCTGGGATTTTATAGGAATTACATTAAACCTATCTATCAGCTTGCAGAGGTTAATTACTTTATTATATTATGTCTTCCAATCCATCAACATAGTGTGCTTCCAAATTTTTTGGACCTTCTTTGACTTCTGTCATTGGTAGTTAGCATACAAGGCATGTACATGTTTTTAGGCCTTATATTTTGTCCCCTTGTTGAACTCACTTCTTAGTTCTGGGAGGGGCTTCACTGTATTTTTGTTTTGTAGATTCTTTGGGACTTTCTACATGGACCATCATGTCATTTGCAAGTAGAGACAGTTTTATTTCATCCTTTCCCAGGAGTGTCCTTTGTTTCCTTGCCTTGTTGCTCTGGCTGACTTTTAGTACCGTTTATGCGTGGTGTGAGAGGACAGCCTTGCCTTGTTGCCAGTCTTCAGAGTAAGCGTTTAGTCTTTCACCATCAAGTAATCAAATTAGCAATGGGATTTTTGTAGACATATATTATCAAGTAGAAGAAATTCCTCTTGTTTGATTTTTGATAATTTTTGTCATGTAAAAGTATTTAATTTTTTCAAATACTTTTTTGCATCAATTGATATGATCATATGGTTTTTCTTGTTTAGGCTATGAATATACATAGACACACTGCTAAATTCTATGAGCAAAAATTTTGTTAAGAATTTTTATGTCTATGTTCATGAGGGATATTGGTCAGTCGTTCCCTTTTTTTGTATTGCTTTTATCTGATTTTGGTATCTGGGTAATGTGACCTCACAAGAGTTAGAACTTATTCCCTACTTTTGTGTTTTCTGGAAAAAATTGTGTAGAATTGGTGCTGTTTTCCTTGACCTGTTTGTAGAATTATCCAGGGAAAGCATCTAGGCCAAGAGAATTCTTTTTCAGGAATTTTTAAATTATGTAGTTACACGCTATTCAGATTATGTATTTCATATTATGTGAGTTGTGGTACTTTGTGAAATTGGTCAATTTCATCTAAGTTGTCAAATGTTGTTGTTCATGATATTCCTTTATTTTTTATGTCTGTGGGGTCTACAGTGATATACTCTGTCTTATTCCTGATAGTTTTTACTACTTTCTTCCTGGTAATGTATATCTTCCCTGCCTTCTCAGTCTTGTTAGGGGTTTGTGAGTATTATTTATCTTTTCCAAGAACCAGCTGGCTATTTCATTAATTTTCTGTATTGTTTTTCAATTTTCCATTTAACTGATTCCTGCTCCTGTCTTTATTTCCTTCCTTATGTCCAACCCTATCCAGAGAGCACAATGAAGCAGTGTGCCATTGTTGAAAAATATATACAGTGTTAGTTCATTGTTTTTCCCAGATGTGTATATATAATATTGTGCAAGCATAGAAACTGACATTTACAGAGATTGCATCAAGAGAAATTCCCTCCAAAATAAGGTAATAAGACTGACTGGTTTTTCTGGCTTGTAGCTTGTGGTGTTACCTAATGGAAATGACTCATTTCTGTAACCCAAGTTCTTATTTTAAATTGATTCAGAAACCCCCTGATGTTCAATGTGGTGTTTTGGCCCCTAGGATCAGTACTAGTTGTTCCTTGTTTCTCCTTGAAGTCTTGATGAGCTGTTAAGTAGCTGCTCAGAAGTTGGAAACTCAGGGTGGGTCTGGGAGTTGCACCGTAAATAATTCGAAGTTAGCTGTGATTCTTAACCATGGCTAATTTGACATCTGTGTATAAAATAAAAATGAATATAATCACAGCTGGGTGTTGTGGTACATTCTCCTAATTCTAGCATTCAGAAGGCTGAGGCAGGAGGATCTTGGCTCGTTCATGGCCAGGCTGGGCTACCTAGTTTAAGGCCAGCCTGGGCTACGTAGCAAGACTCTGTCTCAGAAACAAAAACAACTGCAAAGCCAGATTATTACTTTTCATAAGTCTAATTTATATTTTTAATTGTTCGCGATTAGTAATTTAAAGTATAATGGCAAGATGCTGAATTTTTTTTCTGTTAATACACAAGCTGCATAATATTTTTCTTAGTTTCCTGAATAAGTGTTATTCACAAGGAATATAATTTGGGCAACATGAACAAATGATCTTGGGATTATTTCAGCAGATAACCCTTGTGTATGTCTTGAGCACATTGTGGTGGCCTGGTGGCTATCCTTTTGTAGCCCCCAGCTTCAAGGGGTACACATGATACCGTAGTGATGATGGGGCAGGAGGGCAGTGGATAGATACATATCGAGATGTACAGGTAACATTCATACCCTGGAGGGCAGTAATATGGCCATCTAAGGACAAGTGAGAACAGTCTTCTAGGCATAATACTGTTTAGATGGAGAATTTATGATACTAAGAATTTATGATAAAGTTCTTTGCAAGATAATGTAAGGAATAAAGGCAGACAGAAACCCTGAGCTCTTTATGTAACAGTATTTGTCACTGGATATTTTTAAAGAATTTAAAGATTCCACTTGTACTCAAAGGCAGTGTCTTGTAAGGGGAAGAGCTGGGGTTCTGGGGTACAACAGCCTGAACTGGAATCTTGCCTCGACTATTTCTACCTTTGTGACCTTGGGCAACTTATTTCACCTCTAACCCTTGGTTTCTTCACTGATTAATAGAGGCAATCATGGTGTGATCAAATGTGATTATAAATAAATGTGATGGTGAATTCTCTTATTAGGAACTGGGGTGTATAACTCAGTAGTAGAGCACTTGCCTAGCATGTGCTAGGCCCTGGCTTCAGTCCCCAGCACCAACAAAAAAATTCTCTCATTAAATGTACCCTCTGGCACTTGGTATGCACTTGATATATTTTGCCTTTTACATTATCTGTGATCACTATTTCAGTTACTTAAACAATAGTGAATCTTAACCTTAAAAGGAATCTGGCCTTAAAAGAAGGAATCTGGCTTGTTTTGTGGTATTTATTACAGTTTTTCAATGTTATCATAATATAGTCTGATTTAAGTCACATTCTGAACATGTAACTAATGAAAAGTACCACCTTAAGCTCTAAGTTTTTATAGTACTTGCATATTTCAGGGGATGTCAGTAGCATGAAAATTTGAGCATTGCTAAGTACAGTGTTTCTCATCCTTTTTTTTTATTAGTGTTTCCTGTAAAGTACCTTAATTTTTTTTCCAAAGTTACTTCCTCCAATGAAATTTTAACACCACTGATCTGTATATCTATTTATGTGCTGTGATGCTCTGGATGACTATAGTTGTTATGCTATACATGTTTTTGGGGAGTTTTTGTTTGGTTTTGTCCCAGAAGAGTCAATTTTCCAATCCATAGGAACATCATCGCCTCTGTTGAGAATATGTGATTTAATGCAGTGATTTTCAATCAAGGGCAGTTTTGCCACCACAGGGCAGTTTTGAATGTTTGGAAACATTTTTGGTGGCCACAACTTGAGGTGGATGAGTGGGGCTGCTATTGGTATTGGTATCTTGTAGGTAAAAGCCAGGGATACTGCTAAGCAGAATGTTGGCTTCCCGTAGCAGAGAATTATCTGGCCCCACATGTGAGTAATACTGAGCTTGCAAAACCCTGCCCTCACAGGGTGTTAAAGTTCAATGTACTCTGAGTAACCAAGAAATCATTATGGAAGGTGAAAGTAGACTGTGCCAAATCAAAGGCCACAAGGAAAGGGAGAAGCAGAAGTTGGGTTCCTGACCTTCAAGTTGAGCCAATAGGCGGTATGGTTTGCTTGTCTAGAAAAAAGACCCATCTTTGTCTTCTTAAATGTTATTGCCCTTCAATAATATACTGATTTTTTCTTTTCTAGTCAACTATATATAAAATATGTATAAACCCTTCACATATATAACAGCTAACTTTCTCTTTTCTATTTTATATAGATGTATTTTGCTTTATGAAATAGATGAATTCCTGAAAGATTGTATAAGTTCATTTTCTATAATGTGCAGTTATTCCTCTGGCTTCACTGTATTATATTTTGAGAAGCTTGGCTTCATTCCTAGTTGATTTTCATTTGACCTGGCTCCTAACATTGTTGCTTTTCATTTAGCAGCTTCTTCGGACTTTAGATACTGGGGACAACTTAGGAGGAGTACGTAGCTTAGTTGTAGAATGCATGCTCAGCACGTGCAAGGCCCTGGGTTCCATCGCCAGCACCAGAAAAAGTGGTGTGGGTTTACATCAAAAGTGAGATGTCCTATTCTTTCATAAACATGGTCCAGGTTGTGTGCCCAGAGCTCCCTGGCACCCCTCTTTTCCCTGTCACACTCACATTCCCTTCTTCTGCTGCCCAGAGTTGGCGTGGAGGAACCCTCCGAAGAGGACCAGAACGAACGCTGCTGGCAGTACTTCAGGTGACACAAGGGCATCCTCAGAAAACAATTAACTGGGCCTGACTTTTCTCCTCTTTCTAACCTGAGATATTCTGTTATTACTGTTTTTTTTTTCCTTCCTTCCTCTGTGCATACCACACTCCCCTTTTAGCCAAGGGGCAAGAGATTAAGTCAGTTCTAACCATTCTTGTCACTGTTTCTCTGGGTTGAAGGATGTGTCAGTTTTCCTGGGATTCTGTTCTTTCCCCATATTTTTGGCAGCGTGTTGCTAACACCAAAGACTAAGTTGGCAAGTGTCTCCTTCAGGTACAGCTGAGCTTAGTGTTAATAGCAACTTATTTTCAAAGCCACCAATACTGTTCCCACAAAATTGTGCTTATGACCTAGTAAGTAACTCATCCAAGGAACTAGAATTTCAAATTTCATCTATGACTGGGGCATGACAGATACCGCCTTTATTAAATGCCAGTGATGTTGTGGCTTTTAAAAGTATGTTATTTGTGTATTTGTATTTTCTCATGGTGATTCAGAAGATATGAAGAACTTTTTAACACAAGAATAAAGATTTCTCTAATGTAATTTGTTTCTCATTATGTACCCAAGTTCATGATGTAATTATACTTAAGGTGATGTAGGAGCAAACTAGGTAAAAACTTGAATGTGTCCTCTTTCCTTTAAACATCTCTAAGTGTCATACTTTATTTTTGTCTATTTTCTTGGTACTGATTTATAAAAAAATAGGTTTGAACTCTGTCCTCGGCATTGTGAAAAATCTCTCTCCCTGAGGGCAGTGGTGAAAGCAGCAATACCTGAGTCATGGGTCTTAGGTTATCACAGCCCAGATGTGATAACATATATAACAGCTAACTTTCTCTTTTCTATTTTATATAGATGTATTTTGCTTTATGATGTACACTCTGATGCCATACTTGAAAGTGATTTATGTATTTAAACTCACTGGGTTCACCTTTTTTGTACTGTTCAACCACACACATACACTGAGCTCATTTTTGGAGAAATGAGCTTAGAAATGAGCTTAGAAACTAGTTACTGACTACTACTACTGACTTAGAAACTAGTTAAACTGTAGGGGGAAACTCTGACATTTGAAGCAGCCTATAAGAAAGAAGGTCCTCCAGGCAATTGTAAATTGTAAGTTATTCTACTTGGGGCATGGGATATGAGAGAATTCAGGGTATGACCTAGTATTCAAGGTTTTACGTGAAGGTATTTATCTCATTTTTCATATTAAAACCTTGACTATTCAGATTTTAAACATTATTATTGGTTAGAGGGTGTAGCTCAGTGGTAGTGTAAGTGTGTTTAGCATACATGAGACCCTGGGTTCAATCTCAAGCACAGCCTCCATTCAAAAATTATTGATTTGGGCCAAGGATATAGCCCGGTGGCCTGAGTGCCTGCCTGGTGAGCACAAGGTCCTGAGTTTGATTCCTGGTACCAGAAAAAAAATTATTGATTAAAGTAGAATACTTCTAAAATTTTTGAGATTCTATAGCATTTTATCTGTTAATCAGAACAGATAAATTATTAGAGGGAAAACTATCAGTTTTGATATTTATTCATTCTAGAATGAGCACATCAGTTTAATCACTTTATGGTCTTATTTGGTGTGGGATTTCCCCTTTTTTCTCATGCTTAATGAAAATACAAATAATCTATTTATTCTAGAAGAAAAGACTGTTGTATGTGCTCCAACGTGTTCAGCCAAGGTGTATCAGGGGAATGTTAAAATATGAAATATTACAGCAGCACACAAAGTTATGTATACAGTGTCCTGGATCAAAAGCATTGTAGCAGGTCAGGAGAGAAATATAAATTGTGGATACTTGCCTGAAACTCGAGATTTCGGAAAGTTAAAGGTCATATCATGTCTTCTGAGACTTTAAATCTGCAATTAAAATCATATATGTGATCCTTCTTGTTGCCTAGTACCACACCATACGCCCTAGACCGTTGCTTTACTTCCTATTCTCAGAGACCGGTTTGGTTCTGGGCTCTGCCCCAAGGGTGAGGCCTTTAGTAGGAGCCCTAGAATACTATGTCATCCTTGGGGGTTGGCCCAAGGCCCTTCAAGCCTGCCAGTAAAGTAATTATTAAATCACCCGAAAGTAAACAGCCCTGAATGAGGAAAGACTGCAGAAGAATGTCATTCGTGGCCTCTGATCTTTTCTTTTGGGCATTTAAAAAGCAGTAGCAAGCTGGGAAGCAGGTCTGTCTTTCTTTTCTTGGAATATTCCTGTTAAGCGTTTATAATAGTAGCAGGGACCTCCAAAAGACCCAGGAGGTGTTCCCACATTTCTCTGCCTGTGGGAGGGCCCAGGAGGTCCTTTCAGGCTCTGTGCTGTCAAGAGTTTGGGTTGTATGTCAGATAGGTGGCTGATGGCAAGTGGCTACTGTGAAGATTGGAATTTCCATGGCAGAACAATAACAAAAGCAAGAAAATAGAGCACTGGGTAAGATTATCCTTAGAACTACAGGTTTCTAGGGGACGTACGCAACCAGATCTGAAAATGGCTGCGTTGGTTGGAATTTGCTTAACCATATCTCAGTTAACTAGCATTTTTCTCCTTGCCCGTAGGAGAAAGAATCTCCAGAAACATTCCAGAATTTATTTATTTGGAAAAGAAAACCACATAATTACTAGAACCTATATTCACTTAATACCAGTATTACCTATAGCCCCTTATGTTCATGGATCTTTACAATTTGTGTTAAGGACCCAAAATAATATAAGCTCACAAATCATCAATATTAGTAGATTAAAAGGTGAAAGGTTTATATGATCTCAAGAGAAACCAGAGTATAATATTTGTAGATTAAAGTAGAGAGATAGAAAAGTAGACATTCATGTTCTTGAAACATTTTTACCAAGGTTATAATGAAATATCCGTCTTTTAAACTAAGAAAAATGTTAAATCTGCGAAAAGGGGGGGCAAGAATTAGAACACTAAATACAAAGATAGTAACCTGGATTCATCACTTGTTAATATTTTGTCATTTGGGGGATGATTTTTGCCTTCTCTCTCACTCACAACTGTCTCAAAATACTTGCATATTGCAGACTTTTCACCCATGAGTATGTTTGTGTGTGTATATTCCAGTAATCCAGTCTCCTACATGATCATACACTTGAAAAAAGTAACCTGATTTTAAAGACACACACACACACACACACACACACACACACACACACACACACACGTCTAGGATCCAATCAAAATTTATTCTGATTGTCACATCTGTTTAGTATCATTTAATCCAGAACAACCACCTCCCCCCTTTTGGGGTCACTTCCAACATTTTAAAAGTATTCAGGATATTTATCCACAGAATGTCCCAGAGTCTGGATTTTTCTGATGTTTTCATCATGGCTAAAGCTGCATAATCATTTCTGTCAAAAATCCTATAGAACTGGTGTTACATACACATTTCTTGTTGCATCCTATGAGATGGGGCATATTGTCAGACTGCCCCTTTATTTATGATGTCACATTTGACCACTTAGTTAAGGTAATGACCTTGCGTCTCTGTATGGTCATGGTACCATTTTCTCTTTGGAACTAAAAGGTATTCTGTAGAGTAATCTTTTGACATTACACGAATGGCCAAATTCCCCACAACCTTTCACTCAGTGGTAAAATCATTCACTGATGATCCTTGCTTGAAACAGTGACTACCCTGGAGGCAGAAAATGGCAATTTTCTGATTTTATCAGTACTTTCACTTTTATAAGATGATCTCTCTAAAGAAGAACTATAGAGGATTTTAAAATTAGTTTTCTATGCTGATGAATTAAGGAATCTCTTCATTCACTGAGTAATCAGCTCAAACAAAGATTTAATTTAATATTTATGACATTTGGAGTATGTATCTCTGCAGGATACCAGCAGGAATCTGTTATCACTGAGAAAGCAGAGTGGACAGTTGTTGCTTTCTTACTAGCGATGAAAGTGACAGTATAGAGACATGGCTGGAATTAGTACTTTCTAGAATCTGCCCTGTCCAGTTCAGGAACTGCTCGTCACACGGGGCTATTTAAATTTTAATGAATTGAAACTAAAATATAAAATGCAGTTCCTTGGTCATACTAGCTGCATTGCATGTGCTCAATGGCCACACATGATTAGTAACCTTATTGGACAGTGTAGGTGTAGAACCCTGCTGTCCTTGCCAGAAGTTCTACTAGGCAGCGCCAATCTAGAACTGCTCTGTTTTTTCCCCAGAACAAAATGACAACCCATATAGGTTTGGGATGAGATTAGAGAGCCCATAATCTCATGATTTTGCCAAATGATTGCAATGTTGTGGACGTTGTTTGGAATTCTGGCCTGGTTAGGATGAATAGATGAGTTCTACTGACATCTCCAGGACTTGAGTAAAAATGGTCCAAGCCTCACCTTTATAAGTTGTTTTTGTTAAACAGAACTTATTTAAATTCTTATTAAATAGATTTTCTTTTTCTAATAGAAATGGAAAGAATAAGGGCACCAGATTTCAGTAGAGGCCAAATGTGTAGTAGTAGTTGAGTTTATTTTCTTTGTTATAGTATAGGACATACTTAAGTCCTTTCCCCTGTCTGTAGGCCTTCTATTTCATCTGGGCTGATAAGGTTTTGTGGTTTTTTTGTTTTGGTTTGTTTTGGTTAGGTTTGGTTTTGGTTTTTTTCCAGTACCAGGAATCAAACTCACAACCTTGCACTTGCCAGGCAGATAAGCTGTGCCGCTGAGCTAAATCCCCAGGCCAAGGGCTGATAAGATTAATTTGTTTTATCTTTAATGACATTGAAGCCATATACAAAAGTTACAAATCTTTCAAAATTCCCAGTGCCGAGTGGAGAGATTATTAGTGACAGGTCTGGACTGCCATACTTTCGGCCATCCTACACATGATGCCCCCACCAGCAGCCTCTGTGGTTAGGCTGAGGGCAACCATGCCACCTGGCTTACTGTTAGGCTAAGAGACTCTGGAGTCATGAGCACTCTGCCTCTCTGAGTGTGCAGCTGGGAGCTCATCTTAAGTAAATTAGTCTGACGTGAGGTGGCTTTGTACTGCTATTTAATCCACCAAATGAGACCTCCTATTGGATTCTTCGCTGTTAACCTTACACATTCAGAACAGCCACCATATAGTTGATTGTTTTCTATGGAATGTTCATTAAGAAACTCTAAAAGCAGGTGAGGGTTAAAGATCAACAGCTACGAACACAACACAATCTCTCCTAGAGCCCCTTTCTTTTGTTATATGCTTTGCATGTGCTGGGGCTCTGGCCTGACTTTTGTGGGCAACGCTTGGATGATTTTCATGTCAAAGTTCTGTGTGAGATTTGTTGTTTAAACATCCCTAGATAATGTGAGGGCCAAGAAAAATCCCCAGCCCTCAGAAATCACTACCTGGAAGTAGCCTCTAGCGTGTATAAAGTCCATCTAATTCAACCCAAAGGTTCCATCTAACCCCAGGCCCCTGGGGAGGAAATCTGGTGCTAGGTCCACTTCAGGCTTTAACCAAGAGTTCATAACAGTGCCTGGCAGAATAGAGTCTGTAAATTCACCTAGTAGCTTTAAACTTTGCCTTCCACACAATCTGAGGCATTTCGCAGGGGCACGCCTTGAGTAAGTGTTCTGCAAGCCAGGAATAGGAAAGGCTAGACGCTGACATTGAGAGGTTGGGTACATCTGTGCTGTCTCCTATCCACTCCCATTTCCGTGTAGTTTCTTTTCTTAGGAAAGATCGTGGGTATCACAGGTAGGAGAGAGGAGGAAGAGAAGAGTAAGGGCAGGGATTTGGGGCCTTTGCCTTCATTGTCTACCCAGTGGAGTCAGTGCCCTCATAGCAGACAGCAAAGACGCCCCTGCAAAGCCAACTTGGCACCTCTCTTCAAGCACAGATTCCAACTACTGTGCTAGCAATTGGCTTCTTGGTTTACCTTCTATGACCCTATCCATTCTTTGTGGCACCTGAGCCTGGAGCAAGTGCAGGGAGATAGAGGATTTTCCTGGTGTCCTTGTTTTCTGCCCCCATGGCTGCATGTTATCTGTATCATCCATATCACAATTCTCTACCTCAGAATGGGGAAGGTGCAGGGATAGAAAATTAACAGATGCGTAGAGCAACAGTTGTTATGTGACTAAACCAAGACAGCAGCCCCACTGCTTTTCTGGAATTCGTTACAAGTTGATTTCGTCACTTTGCCTTTTCTTTCCATCTTTAGTTGTTGCTCTCAGATGTGTGAGTTTGGGGATCATCTTTGATGTGGGAAGGTGTGAAGGTATCAGAATTAAAGCAAATCAAGACTCCAGTTACCGATACTGCTAAAAAAAAAAAAAAAAAACCAATTACTCTGCCACCTGTTAAAAGGGCAAGGTAGACTTTATTTTCAAAAAAAAAAAAAAAAAAACCAATTACTCTGCCACCTGTTAAAAGGGCAAGGTAGACTTTATTTTCAGGATCATTACTGCTGGTACAGGGACAGCTGTGATGGGGTTTTGCAGTGCAAGGAAAAGATAGGAATCAATGGATAGAAGGAAACATCAGGGTAAGGGGGACTCTGTCTAAACTGACCTACCAGGATTCTTGTTGGAAGGCAGGGGAGGGTGATCAGATATCACTTGGGGGTTAGTGGGGGGTGATATCCCTTACCAGGTGTTGAGGGAGATCAGGTAAGTGGCAAGTTCTCACTGAGATTTAGCAGGATTGTTTGCTAAAAGTTGGTAATACAAAGTAACACCTAGAAGCCCAAAGGTCAGGGCCTAGTTGGGAAGAGGATTTGAAGGAGCCTGGCTCAGGCTGGTACAAGGAGAGACCGCCACTATGCATAGGGATGCAGTCAGGCAAAGTGTATTGATGTCTGCTGCTTTATTTGCATGCAAAGAAGTAAGAGATTGAGGATAGAGAGAGAAATGGTTAGGTCATAAAGAAACTGCAGTAAAATTTTAATGGTAGGATGTGGTGGTGGGCATACAGCTGTTCACTATAAAGTTCTTTAACATTTTCCTTTCTAATTGAAGAATTTCATAACGGAATGTTAGGAACACCAGAAGAGATTGGTTTGGCCACATTTCGATAAGGAGGACCACCTGGCACAGGAAAGCAGCTACAGACAGTTGGAAGCATGTGCTATGTACAGAGACTATGCCATTTCCAGAGGCCTTGCTTAGGACATAAGCACACAGGACTTATTGCCCCTACTCTCTGGTATCTGATGTAGTAAATGACCCGACTTCTGCATGACAGCCTTTCTCTCTGTACCTAACCACTCCTTCTGCTTTGGGAAGATGGTTGCTGACTTCAGCCGCCCACATGATTACCATGGGCCAAACTAATACTTGCTGTTCTTTTCCTTGTCTTCCTCCCTGGTGACTTTTAGAGTTGGTGTTGACCCAGATCAAGACCCACCACCTAACAACGACAGCTTTCAAGTCTTACAAGGGGTAAGTCACAAGAAACACTTCTTCCCAGGGAAGATATGGTTAAAAGTAGCTCACATTTAGTGTGTGCTCACTGTATGCCAGGTACTTCACCTAGATTCCTGGTTGTCATCTTGAAGGTACCCTTTTGGGGTGAGTACTGTTAGCTGTGTTGTATAGATTGGAGCTGAAGGGGTGAGGGTTAAAGTGAGTCATCTAAGGTCAGCGAATTAGAAAATGATTTATTTTGTGAGTGAAAGAGGCCAGGAGCAGCGGGATAGCCAGGATTTAGAGAGATTTCACCTTGCTCAGTCACAACATCCCCAGTCCTTCTGCTGTTTCCTGTTGCTCTTGCTTCTCGCTCAGGCACCTGTAGAAGGAAATAAGTGAAATGGCTTGGTTGGTCTCATGCCACAGAACTTACTGTACATTTCATAAGATCTAGACACTGGAAATACCAAGGTTGAATTAGACTGAGTAGTACACTTGTTATTACTTTTCCGTGGGAAATACTTGAGAAACAGCAGATCTTAAATGCTAAGGGTCCTGGCACTCAGTCCTTTTGGTGACATCTAAAATAGTCCCCATCCTCAAGTGGGGTGAGGCAACCTGAATAGGCCTGTTCAAATAGCTCAGCATGCCTATTGGCGCCTGGACGATAGTTTAAGGCCAGGAGCACTGCACATTTGGCACTGTAAGTGGGCTGGCAGCAACTTTTGCTGTACTCCTGATGGTGCCCCTTTTGCTAGCCTGGAGCTATGTCACAGCTTCCTCTGACCTCCTCCCTCTAAACCTCATACAGTCATGAACATCGGCCCTCAGAATCAGTTCTGCTAACCTTTTGAAAGCTGTTAGGATTAGTGTCAGGTTGGGAAAAACAGGCGTACGTCAGGCGTGCTTCCCCAGGACATCCTCTCAGAAATGACTCATGCTGTTGTGCAGAAGGGCCTTGTTTCTCCACATCTTCCTGGCCTGACCTTCTCATTCCAGTGAGCCACTCATGGCAAGGCTGAGAGTGCTCAGTGATCACGAGAAACAAGAAAACAAGAATAAATGGCCTTCTCAATTTTGGGTGAAACTCTGGGTTCTTGCAGTTTCCCCTGAAATAGATCCAGGTCACATGCTCTGTTTTGTCATAAAACTGAAAAAAAAGGTAGGCAAAGTCCAGATGTTTGTCTTCAGTAGAAAAGGCTGTTCTCCTGACTTCAATTTCTAATTGATTTTCCTAAAAACAATGAACAAACAAAGACAATATTTGACGGGGGATCATTTCTTAGCACAAGGGCAATTTCTCCTTCCTGATTCGAGAAGCCCAAGGTTATAAACAGTGTCATGGCTACACAGCTACAGCTACAGCTCATGTGGGAGAAGGAAAGGAACGGTTAGCTGGAACTTTTGACTCTTTGTAAGGGAAGCATAAGAATATTGTGGGAAGACTTCAGCTTTGTGTCCCTGGCAAGTTTGACTCATTAGAACAAAACAAGACTAAAAATGTAGTTGCTTTGTTTCTCTGGAGGTTTTAGTGACTTTGCAATCAAAACAAAAACAAGCCCAGCTGGAAACAAACTGCCCAACCTGGCAGTTAGCCCATTCAAGGGGGAACTTCTCATGCCAAACCAGACACAGCTGAGATTTCTGTCGGCCGGACACGCAGACACATCATTCACTTCCTCTTCTCAAAGTCCAAGTTTCCAGAAGAGCATTCATTGATGATGTCCCTTTACAGCAGCTAAAAGCATAGCTGTGAAGTGATCCTGGCTTTATTGTACCAGGCACACCAGCGTACAAGCTAGATATTACTGGAATGTGGAGAAAAGGAAGCACAGTTTCTGTGTGAGTGTGTATGCACATGCATGCATGAATAAGTATGTGCGTGTGTGTAGTGAGAACTGTAGAAAGTCAGCTGTTTACAGTTGCGTTGACATAGGGCTTGGTGAGCAAATTGAATTCATTTGTTTCTGGCTTCTCTGACTGAGATCAGATACCTACCTGGTCACCTAAATCTTTTAACTTCAGTTGCTGAAGTGACTTAAATTACTTTTCTCTGACCCCACCCCCAGCTTTTGTCTTATGACTGCATCCTTTGGCACCTGGATTTCCCTTTCTACTATGTTTTTGTTGTTTTCTAGAAGCCCTGAATAAATATTAATTTACTTATCCACTTGACAGATATTTATCGAGTACCTGCTAAATATCAGACTTTTCAGGCTGTGGGAATAGGTCTGCAACAAGACAGGTGAATCTGTCCTGAAAAGCTTGGTGACAGTGTGATGAAGTGGGTAGAGAGTGGCAGAAGTGACGTGGTGTAAAGCCTTCCTGCTCTGGCTCCAGGGAGCGCAGACCTATCCTTGCTACTCTGAGTGTTCCTGTGAACTACCATTTCAGGAGAGAACTTGCTAGAAATAGAGACTCTCAGGGCTCATCCAGCTTCACTAAAACAAAATCTCCATTTTTCCAGTATCCCCAAGTGTTTGGTGCAGTATACAGTTTGAGAAACCCTGGGTTAGGTAAGGTAGAACTAGGGAAGAAAACTCTTATTAAGCAAGGAAGAGGGCTGGGGATTTAGCTCAGCAGCAAAAGCGCTTGCCTGGCAAGCGCAAGGTCGTGAGTTCGGTTCCTGGTACCGGAGAAACCCCCCCCCCCAAAAAAAGCAAGGAAGAAACTATCTGTGCAGCACTGTCATGGACTTGATTCCCAGATATGATGAAATATCTTGGTCCCATTACCCTATGACATACAGAAAGGAGGGTCACAAGTTCAAAGCTAGCCTAAACAACTTAGCTGGACCTGTCTCTAAAAAAAATAAAAGAGCTGGGATATAGCTCAGTGAATAGGCCCTGGGTTCAATCACTAGTACCAGGACAAAATCTCAAATCAAGTTACATCATTTATTTACTCTTCTGTTCTTTATTAGTCTTCTGGGCCCACTGTAACAAATTACCCCAAAACCTGTGGCTTAAATTACATGGTTGCATTACCTGACAGTTGGGTAGGTCAGAAGTCTGGTGGGGTCAGCTTATTTCTCTGCTTCAAAGCCAAAATCAAAGTGTCAGCAGGGCTGGGTTTTGGAGGGGGAGCCAGAGCAGGCTCAGTCAAGCTGTTGGTAGAATTCTGTTCCCTGTAGTTGCAGGACTGAGGTTTGATGTCTTTTTTGTTTGTGGGGCATGGGGTGGGGAGAATCACACCTAGCCCCTAGAGGCTACTCATATTCCTTGAGTCGTGGCCACCACTATCTTCAAAACCAGCAACAGTGATGGGTTCCGTGTCACCTGCTGTCTCTCTTGCCTCTTCTTTCACTCCGTGTCTCTGACTCTCTTGCCTGCTTCATCTACTTTATAAGGACCTGTGTGATGGTCCTGTCCTGCCAGGGTAACCCAGAGTCAGTCCATAAAGCCCCCGTTGCTGTATGTATAACATGCTCACGGACTGCAGCGATGAGGATAGAGACATGGGTGGGCGGCCATCATTCCTACCTCATGCTCTGTTGCTCGGAAAATGTAAGCTGTTCTCATTAATGCAACTTTAAAAAATTTTTAACATTATGAAAGAATGGAATAAAATATAACTGAAGATACCAATATTCCTTGATTCTAGAAAAAATACTTCAAAAATAATGATGTTTGCCATTTCTTGGTTGTTTGATCACCTTTTTCGTCACGAAAAAGAATATACAGTAAAACGTTGGTGTGCGAGCATAATTCATTCCAGAAGCATGCTTGTAATCCAAAGTATTTGTATGTGAAAGTGAATTTTCCCATGAGAAATAGTGAAAACTCCAGATGATTTGTTCCACAACCCAAAAATATTCCTATAAAATGATTACAGTGCTACAATATAATACAAAGTAACAAAGAAAATACAAAAGATTTAAAAACCTGCACTTACCTCTGAAAACCTTCATAGCTGGAATTGGGGAGAAGAGAAACAGGAGGGTTATTGTGTATGGTTATTTTCACTATCACTAACAGAATGACTGCTGTCTGTTGGCCCAATGGAATATTTTTCTTTTTGCGCACCTTGAACAAGGAATCTATCCACTGTCACTTACTTTTGCCTCCTTTTGAGTATTTCATAGAAATGTGACATTGCATCATCATTAAGCACTGCTATAGCCTTATTTGGGTGGTGTTTTTCTATTGAAATTTTGCACCATTTCCTGTATTATACATATCTCTCTAACCTCACTTGAAGTGAGGGATTCCTGTGACCTTATCTTCTTCTAATCTGCAAACAAGATCTCCTCCATAACCTCTTGCTATAGGGAGATGATCACCCACAATCCCACAGTGAATGAGGGAGCAAGGGGGAGGGGAGGGAACCTTTGGCTCACTTGTGGTCATGTGCCATTCAGCATCACATACTACTTGTATTGCAAGACATGTATCAAGTTAAAATGTATTAGAAATGTTTGCTTGTCTTACAGAACACTCACAGAACAAGTTCCTCACAACCCAAGGTTTTAATGTATATATACACATGTTCACATTTCTATATATCACGTGCACATATACACATTTATATCATACATATATGTATGTATATACTTTTTTTCAGTCTCACTCTTCAGAAAGGGGCAGTGCTGACTCTTCGTCCTCTGTGTCTCCAGCACCTGGCATGGTGCCTGGCACATAGCAGGCACTTAATGCAGAAAAATACACACTTGTTACACACGCAAAATGCTAGTAAGCAGGGTTGGTGATATTTATTTTTGAAGTGGTTTCTCTATTCATAATGTCAGGAAAAAGATTTAGAACTCTTCATGTGAAAAGCCACAGAAAATAGCCCAGTGACATTAATGAATAAGTTGCTCCCTCCTAGCAAATGTGTGTGTGAAATGACATATTCAGTCTTTGGATATGAACCGAATTAACAATATGTGCTCTAAATATGTGCCAGATGCTGGGCTAAATATTTTACAAATATTTAATAAGTACAAAAAATATATATGGCTAATATTGTCCTAACTTCTTTCAGTATAAAAATCGTTTACACCTCTAAAAGAAGAAAAAACCTGTCTTTTTCTGTATTCAAACACTTCTAACAAAAAATATTGTTTTTAACCCATGCCAGTAATTGTCTAATTCTTAGTGGACACCAACAAGATGTTCTCTATTTTAACTTCATTCTGGCCACTAATGGCTTGGAGGTGGCATCAGGCCCACAAGTTAAAAACTCAGTCCCACAAGACTACCCACACTTAAGATGCCAGCTGTCAAGTCCCAAGTTGTGACCTGTATTTGGACTGACTGCGATAAATCAGGTGCTTCTCCAACCTCCTCCTCATGTTTAGTAATTGTCTAAAATGACTCATGGAACACAGGAAGCACTTTGCTTACCATTATATGTTTCTTATAAATGGTACAACTCAGCAACAACCAAATGGAAGAGATGCACACGGTAGGATATGGTAACGGATGTGTTGAGCTTCCGTGCCTGTGCCTGGCATGCTGCTTTCTCAACACCTTGATATATTTGTCAACTTAGAAGCTCTTCAAGCCTTGCTGTTGAGTGGGTTTATGGAGGGTCCATTACACAGGCATGGTTGATGAAATTATTAGCCATTAGTGATGGAGTAACTCCCTAAGACCTTTTTCCCTCTTTGGAGGCAGGGGTTGGGGCTGAAAATGCCAGTCCCATACCCACAGCATTGGTTCCTCCTGGTACTAGCCCCCAGCTTCCAAGAGTGACCTCGTTAGCAAAAATTCAGGTTTAGTTGAAAGGGACTTATGACTATGAAAATGTTCCTCTTACCCTGTTACTGGAAAATTTTGTGCCGGGGACTGGAGTTCAGACCAAATATATATTTTTATTATATCACAGTATCAGAGCCATCACAGCTCCATGACAGTCTTACAAGGTAGGTGATTACTAATATTTCTGCTCTATAGATGAGGCCACTGAAGCACAGAAGGATTAGGTATCTTGCCCAGAGTTGCACAGCAAGCAAAGGCACAGTCAGGGCCCCGGTTGTCTGTTGAGAGGGCCTGTGATGTTCACACATACACTTCTTGGAGTTTCCCTTGCTTTTGAAACCTTTCTCAGAGAAGCTAAGCTTGTGAATAGCTTTGAAAGACAAATAGGAGTCAGCCAGGAAGGTGGTGTAGGTCTGAGAAGGTGAGAAGACGAAAGGCAGTTCCTGGCTCTGAGCTCAAGGCTTGGGGAGTGAACCCATCATGTGGGAAGGCGGGTATCGAGGAGGAATGGGGTGAGGGCAAGCCTCCACTTTTTCCATGGTCAGCATGGGAATGGAAATCCGAGTCTCCAACTGCAAGCAGGAAGGACCCCTGCTCAGCCTGGTGCTGACTGGAGCCCACAGGACAGGAAGGCACTCATGACTTCTCTGTGGTAAAGCAGTGGACGGTCGTCTTCCGGGTCAGCATTAAAAATTAGTTTGAGGGAGCCGGGCGTGGTGGCACACGCCTGTAATCCCAGCACTCGGGAGGCTGAGGCAGGAGGACTGTTGCGAGTTTGAGACCAGCCTGGGCCACAAAGTGAGCTCGAGGCCAGCCTGAACTGCATAGCGAGACCCTGTCTCAAAAAGACAAAAAAAAAAAAAAAATCAGTTTCATTCCACAGAGTTGCCCTGGTTTCTCCAGAGCCACCATCTATGGATTTGTCAAGTTTTTTCCTGTACCTAATCATGTCCCTAGCACTCTCTCTTAGAATAAGTTGTTTAATACCCTTCCTACAAAGCCAACACTTTGATTTGTCCCCAGTTTACTTTCCTAGCCTTTCAGTGTTGTTACAGGCTTTTACGTTTCAGGGTTTGCTGCTGAATTTGAGGCTACTTTATCTTACTTGTGGATTCTAGACGTTTCTCTTTATGGCCTGAGAAGACCTTTTGTTAGTTTGTTGTCAAAAAGAAGCCCTTGTATGGCTTTATTCACTTTACTTAGCCCTTTTGGGGGCTTACAGAACTGTCTAGTAGCTTCCTGGAGGTGAGAGGGCCAGAATTGAAGTGTTCCAGGTGATACTAAGCTCATTGTGGTTTTAAAGAGTGGGGCTAAGGGAGCAGCTCAGTGATGATGCGTCACAAATGCAAGCCTCTGAGTTCACTTCCAGTACTGCCCAAAAACGGAAAAAATGACAGAGTAGGGGCTATTATTTTTATTGTTAATTGGCGGGATGAAACTGACTTGGGGACATGTATTTGGTGCCTGATAGTTTATAGTATCCTTCCTGATGAACTTTGTCATTTTGCTGGTTTTTTCTTCAGCAAAACTGACCTGGCATTTAAAACTGAGAGTTTAGAACCAGGCGTGTGGTACATACCTCTAATCCCAGCACTTGGAAGCCTGAGGCGGGAGGATCACCTCGAGTTCCAAGCCAGCTTGGGCAACATAGTGAGTTCAAGGCCACCCTAGAATACATAGTGAGACCCTCTCTCAAAAAACGTTAAAAAAATAAAAAAGTAAAGTAAAAAACTGACAGCTTACAGCCTTAACTTTATAAAGAGCCATTTACTTTTTTTTTGAGACAGGGTCTACTTATGTAGTCGAGGCTGGCCTTGAACTCACTGTATCCCTGGCTGGCCTTAAACTCATGGTGATCCTCCTGCCTCAGCCTCCTGAGTGCTAGAATTACAGCCCTGTGCCATCATGCCTGGCTGCCATTTACTTTTTATATCAATATATGACTTTATCAGAAAAGTCCTCCACCACTTTTCTACTCAGTTGTGTGGCATTTTGAAATCCTCCTAGAGCTGTCATTGGTTAGCAGTCAGTTACCCAAAGGAACAGTTGTTATGGGTACACGGAGCTATTTGTGTGTTCTCTTCCTTCCACATGACTCATAAAAATGTAAAATAAAACTGGTCACTGGGGTCTGTCCTTACTTATATTTCCTCATCCATAGAGGGGTGTGTTTAACTAAGTCATTTCTATATCCATCACTAAACATTACTCAATTACCATGGAAACTCAATTTTAAAAAATAATCTTTGCTGTAAGAAACTGGGAATTTAAATAGTGCTTGCTAATTTCCTTCCTTCTATTTGTCTATATGATTATCTTCCCAAAGATCCCTGATTAATTATTGACGTTGCCATTATAGGTAGGATTTGCATTTGGTGCAATTTGGAATTAATTTTGGTTTAAGGTTATTTAGAGTACTGCAGATTGAAAAGACTTTTGCACTACACTAGGCTCCATCCTCAGGCCCCCGGGCCCCCACTTCTTAAAAGTTTGAAACAGAGTCTCCCTAAATTGCCCAGGCTGGACTTGAACTTGGCATCCTCCTTCCTTATCATCTCAGAATTCTGGGATTACAGGCACAGGCCGCCACGCCCAATTTAGCTCAAGTTTTATTTGGCTATTGGCTATTGTCCCTCACTTTGGAGAGCTGAATCTCCATATAATATCAAAGAGGATGAGAATAAAAATAGCTGCGTGTCTCCTGCCCTGGGTACTTGTCACCCCGTGATGCAGAACCCCAGCAATGCCCCCAAACTGCTGCAGTAAATCTGATTTTCATATTAATTGTGATGCTTACAAAAATTGTACAGAACAGACTTCAAATGAGTGTCTGATCTTGCTGGTTATTTTGAAGATTGAGTGTGAGGATGTTTAAGTTGGAATATCATGAAAGGAATACCAAGGAACTTGCTACTTCAGGGTAGATAGAATATCAGAATTGTTAGTTCTGGCTCTGTTTCCTCTGCCCACTGGCCCCACTTCCTTCAAGCTGGAAGTGAAAGAAATAACTGTGTCACCTGGAGCACCTGGGTAAGGCCACAGAGAACCCTTTCGCTACCTTGTCAGGAAACTCAACAAAATTTTGTCTCTCCAGGCTAACTTTGTGGTATCCTGAAAAGTTGGTTCTACACAGCTTTTTAAAATATCTGCTATATATCAGGTTTGCCTGCAAGGACCTAGACTCTTTTAGGGTAGTTAATCTTCTGAAAGTCATTTTGAGGAAAAGTACAATGGAGGTACCAAAAGAAATTGTGTACTAATATTGAATTGATCTACTCACAGACATTACCAAGCCTTTTTACTTTGCAGGTTAATTTTTCTGTGTTTTGTGTTTTCTTAATTTCTGCCAAAATATTAGCTCTCAATATGTCTTTGAGGCTTTGGTGACATGGGATATACAACAATGAGATCTAGATCTAGAAATGTTGTAGTTTGTGGGGTGGATGTAGCCCAGTGGTTGAATGCTTGCCTAATGTGCAAAATGTCCTGGGTTTGATCCCCAGTGTTAAAAAAAGAAAGGAGAGAGAGAGGGGAGGGAGAGACAGACAGACAGACAGACAGAGACAGAGAGAGGGGGGGAGGGGCAGAGGAAGTGGAAGGGGGAAGGGAAGGATGCAAAAAAAAAAGGTGTAAGTTGGTTACAGTTTAAAAAGCTTTCTCCTCTCTACATTCTGATCCTTTCTCAGTAACTAAGCATGTATTCTCTTGTTTGTTCATAGGATGGCCCAGATTCTGTTGGAGGAAACCGGACAAAGCAGGAGAGTGCGTGGATATTCAGGTTATGGTACAGCTTTGACCACAAGTATCCTTTTAAGTGGCAAATTTGTGAGACATTGATGGTGAAATCTACTGGCTGAGTTGTCAGTGAATGACTTCTGATGAGTAAGGAAAGATGTGTGCTTGGACAGGTGCAGTCAGTCCTCTCTTGGGACGTATGCATCCATCATTCAATCACAAGTAGTACGGGTAGCCATCGCTCTGGTCAAGAAGAGTGTTTGCAGTATCATTAGAGTGGCTCCATTACAGCCTGGTGGACATAATGGCTCTTGAGAGCCTTGTGTCCAGGTAACTATGCCTTTGTAGGTGAATTCATTAAAATGATACAGTGACAATGAAGATTAGGGAGTTAATCCATGTGAGAAGAATAAATCCTACTGAACTTGGCCAAGTCATATTTTACTACAATAAATGGGCTGTATGCAGATCATATTCTAATAGATTTGTGGTCACAGGTGAAAATTAAAAAAGAAGTTAAACCTTCGTGGTTTTAAAAATCGGCATAGTGGCCAAATGGACAAGTAGCTTATTCCAGATGGTTTTTAGAGACATTGAAAATGTTAAAAAATACTTATTGAAGTGTAAAATATTATCAAAATGTCCAGTGAATGATTCCATTTAAAAAAAATTATTATAGTAAAAGACACATTGCCATCATCCCCCATCAGAATACCTTTGCTTTGAACATACTCATCCCATCATCTTGGCCACTTTCTGAAGCAGTTCTGGAAGTCCTCTTTTGTGAATGTCTTTTTATGAGGGGGATACCAGAAATCAAACTCAGCACCTTGCACTTGCCAGGCAGGAAATTATGCCACTGAGCTTTATCCCTGGCCCTTGTGAGTGTCTTTATGTAATAAAAAAATAGAGGAACCCTACAGGCTCCTAAAGACATTTACAGTGTGTCCTCATCCACCTTATTCACTAAATCTGGCACCATGCAACTTTTCTTCTCCAAAGTGAAAATGACCATGAAATGTAAATTTTTAAAATCAGTTCAGGACATTGAGCCAGTTACAACAGCCCAACTAAAGATATTCACAAAAGAGGACTTCCAGAACTGCTTCAGAAAGTGGCAAGAACTATGGGATAAGTGTGTTCAAGGCAGGGAGAAAAAAGAAGTCTCAACATACAATTCTATACCTAAACTATCCATCAAAACTGAGAGAATAAACAAGTGATTGATTCTAGAGTGAATAATATTCATACTGTGACATTACTACTTTTTTTTTCTATGCTGGGTATGGAATTCAGGGCCTCACTCATGCTAGGTAAGTGCTCTACCACTGAGCTACATCCTTAGCCCAGTGATGCTACAAATATTGCTTTATTGGTTTTAAACATGTAGACTTAATCTGGAGACAAAACAGAAAATTTTCTTATTATGAAATAGCAAATGTATTTGCAGTATAAAATTAATTTGTATAAAACCTGGAAAGAAAAGACAGGAGTGTAAATGAATTATATTTATTCTTCATAAGAGGGAATTAACAATCTCTGACTGTAGCTTATAAATCAGAAACTAGAAAAAATGTATTATATGAAGTTTAATATCCATTACCAGACCAATGAGAATGGGAGAGACTTAAAGTTTCATTTTGTATGCTTCTATTCAATAGTTTGAATATTTAAAAGTTTGCATGTGTATGTGTGTGTGTGTGTATATATGTTTATAGAGTCCACCAGAAAATGTAAAATGTATACATACTTTAGAAAAAGAAAAACTTATATAAATATTTTAATACTAAATTTATTAAGACATCATGAGATTAATACAAGTTACCTTTGGACTCTACAGTTACAAGAGGAGCTCAGAGTGGTGGCAATTAGCTTACAGGCATTTATTAGTATGGAGAATGGCTGCTTGGGTAACTTGGTCCATTGAGATTGCTGCACATGCATTTTCAATTTCTTCCCTAAGGGCTAGCAGTGTCGTGGGTTTTCTATGATATGCAGCATTTTTAGGGTCCCCCATACAAGGTTAACATCACTTGTTGAAAACAAAATCATACTGTTTTTCTTTTTCTGGAATATGTATACATTTTGGGGCAGACTCTGTATAGGTTTCTTTTTAAGGAAGTTGTTCTAGGCCTTCTAGGTTTGGGGAAATGGAGTCTTGTCTTCGAAGTGCCTAAAGGAGGAAAGTGAAAGGCAACTTCTGACTCTTGGCTATTCATACAACAGATGCGATCCTCCATCATCTTCCCAGAAAAGACAGGCAAAAAGTGATAGCCCTGTAAGGGCTATACCGAGATTGAACGGGTGCTTGGTCTATTCCTGTCCCAGGTCTGTAGTCAAAAGATAGCAGTCAGAGGGAAGCTCATTCTGTCTGCAAAGAACTCCAGTAGAGCCCCCATGTCAACCCTCTTCATTGAGTCATTCCCAGTTAGAAACATAGCTCAGTCCTCTTCTCGCTCCTCTTCAGAGAAAGTTATTTCCCTCAGGTGTTGCTCTAAATGAAGACAGGAAGTAATAGTGTACCCAACAGTCCAGTCTTTTAGGCACAGACCACTGTGACATCTTCTTGCCTTCCTTTAACGTCTCTTGGCCATGTCAGAGTGGCCATCTGAGTCAAAGTGGCCATCTGAGACTCCACCTTTTCCACATGGTTTAAGCCATGGGTCTCAGCAATGGCCCCGCTCTGTCTGAATGGGACAAGTGCTCGTTGGTGCTTCCAACACAGGCTTGTGCATTTGGGAGCACAGATACTCATTAACTGAAAAACTGGGATCTCTGCATATCAATTGAGCTTCATATTGGAGCAGTAGTAAGGGTGAATTTGCTTCCTGGGGGACATTTGGAAATTTTTGGAGACATTTGTCACAATTTGATTAGGGGAGAAGGGTGCAAGTGGCATCTAATGATGGGGGACCAGGGATGCCTCTCAAAATGCATAGCACTGTCCCCCACAACAAAGCATGATCTGGACCCAAATTTCAGTAGTGTCAAAGTAGAAAAGCTGTATGTCAGGCAGTCTGGGAGAGAGGTAGCAGGTGGAATGAAAAGTAGTCCAGTAATGGGAAGTTGGGAGAGTTAACAGTGCAAATAACTATACTGAAATCATTTCACCTTGCTAAGTCTCAGTTTTCTTCTTTGTAGTAGCCCCAGGTTACCTGTAAGGTTCCGTGGAACCCCAGCATGTCCACTGTGTACCCTCTAGGCCAGTGGTGGCGAGCCTATGGCACATGTGCCAAAGTGGGCTGTTTGTATCAATGAAACCTTTAAAAGGTTTGCCATCACTGCAGTGGTTTTAAAAGGATACTTATAGAGAACAAGATCTGGGGGAACCCAAGGGCTATAACCCCCACTCCACTCTTTCCTGTTTGCAAGACTTGAGCTCTTCGTGTGTCAGAAGCTGAAATGCTGCCAGCCATGGTGGCACATGCCTTTAATCCCAGTACTTGGGAGGCTGAGGCAGGAGGATTGCTGTGAGTTCAAGGCCAGCATGGGCTATATAGTAAGTTCAGGAACACCCTGAACTATGTAGTGAGGCTCTGTCTCAAAAAAAAAAAAAAAAAGGCAAAAAGCTGAATGGAAACAAAACAAAGAACTCAAGTATGTTCTAATGAATCCATTGTTCTTTTTAACTGACAGCTGGGAATCACCATTTAAGACTGATGGGGCATATCTTAATCTTCCACACCTATTCCTGAAGTTTACAACCATTTCATATTCTAGTGTGGTAAAATGGAGGGGGGCTGTGGGTAGAATGTTGCATGACCAACTGGGATTTTAAAACATATTTTGTCCTGTGTATGTTTTTTGCAGCAATTTTTTCCTTAATTCCCTTTTTAAAGTTACTTGAAACCCACCCTCACGCACAGCGGTCCCCCACTAACCACCACGCTCCCTGCCTGGTGTGGTTTGCTGGCTCGATGTCTGACCAGTCCCCAAGTATACGATGTAAGTACAGTGTATTACCAACTTTCCTGTCACTGGGGCAAAATACCTGGCACTCACAACTTTAAAGGAAAGGTGTATTCTGCCTCATAGTGTTTTGTCTTTGTTTTTGTTTTTTTTTTTTAAAGATTCATCCTTAGCTGGCTGGCTGCAAGGCAGAAAGGGCATGGTGGAAGGGCTTGGGGGAAGAAAGCTGCTCACATCATGATAGCCAGGATGTAGAGAGTGAAGGAAGGAGCCAGGGATAAAAATACACCCTTCGAGGTCACACTGCCAGTGACCACGTCCACCTGGGCCCTGCCTCCTGACAGCACATTCGGCAATGAAGACATCAATGGAGGAATCCCCTGAGGAGTACAGCACCCTGTGATCCAATCACCTTCCTAAAAAATGAGGCTTTTGGGGGACATTTTAGATGTAAACCATAACATGAAGCATTCAACATTTTGTTCCTGCTCACTACAGCAGAATGGCCTCTTACCTGGAAGAAGAAAACCGTCACACTCAGACCTCAAAACCCACAGATTTTGCTTGTCTCATAATGTGATTAGAAATGGCCAACTCACATAGGTTTATATATTTTTCACAGTAACAGAAATCTTATACCAGGGGTTACGGAGGTTTCCCAGCGTGGGCAGCTATGGCATAATGGAAAGAATACTGGATTGAGAATCAGAAAAACTAGATTGGAATCCAAACTCTGACAGGCCTTGGTTTTCTTGTCTCTGCAACAGGCCTAGTAGTTCAGGCTGGCTGTATGCATTAACGTAAGGTACGAGAAGATACACACTACAAACTACAAAGCTTTTCACAAATGTAAGGTTTCTCTTATTGTAAGAATTAGCTTACTTATGATGATGTGGTTAGGTCTTTTCTTCCCATTTGCCAGTGCTAGAAACGGAGCTGGTACAGTAGGAAAAGAATACCGCGCTGTGGCCACCTCAGCCTTTGGACTGACTTGAACTCCTCATGTGGGCTGCAGGGCAGAGAGGTGGAGAGAGCAAGCAGCTACCTACACAGAAGGGGTACAGGAGAGGACAAAGGCTTCTTCCTTCCTCATCTCTCCTCCACCATTGTAATCATCTCATCATCAGCACAATCATTACCTGCTAACAGCAAAGAACTTAAACGCATATACAGCTTTACAGCTCCCAAAGGCTAATTTTGTTCTCTTAACCATACCTTGAAGAAGCAAATACGGCAGTGTATTGAGGAAGGTACATTTCAGGCATTATGTGAGTTGCCCACAGTCCCACAGTGACTAATTGGCAGAGCTGAAACCTTAATGTAGGTCTTCAAATAATTAGCAGATAACATGTGTTTTCCTGATCAGTGATTAGAAAGCAGAACACAAAGCCCAGGTCTCAAGGAGAAGGGCCCTGAGCAGGGAAGTTTTGATGGGGTAGGAAGCAGGGCTGATGGGGCTTGCAGTCAGGTTGAACACAGGGGCAGGGGATGTGGACACCACAGCTAGCCAGGGAACACCAAAGTAAAGGGGAACCATGTCAGAGCACCCACAATTAGAGGACGCAACCCCTTAGATGGGATGCTGCCCCACCACTTCTCCCTAATAAAGCTCCAACTGATTATACCTTTACAATCTTCTGTAACCTGAAGCATAGTGGACTGCAGTAAGCCTGCTTACAGATTAGGGCTATCCGGACCAGTTTGAACTCAGAATAAACTCAGTAAACTTACAGTCATGTGAACTTAAAGTGCTTCTCTCACTAGCTCAGGAGACTACGCAAGATTTGCTTCCTGAGCTAACGTTTGGGCTCTGGCTCCTCGTGGCCAACCTAAGATGGGGAAACTTGGGCTTCCAGCAAGAACCACCCTCAATGCTATCGCTGCCCCTCTGGGCTGGCGTCCTGCCCAGGTGCTCGGCCGGCTGCACACACAGTGATGCCTGCTAGTAAGAGTGGAAGCAAAGGGTCGTTTCAGCATTATATCGTTTGGTGAACCCAAAACTGAAAGAGGCAGAGGGGCTTTCTGTGGGATATGACGCCCGGTGAGGGTCTCAGGCTGGGCAGTTCTCCTGGCCATTTGGCAGCAGTTGTGTGGTCCTGCCCATCACCTATATGGCATTTTGTACTTCACCAGTCTATTTGGAGGTACCTAGGATGTTCATCATTCATTATTTCCATTAACTCTAAACCATTCATGTTGGTATCCACCAAGAAAACTGTTCTCTCATTTACAAAAATGACCTCTGGTTATGTACAATGCACATATTTCTACAGTGCTCTCATTTACAGGTGTTTTCAGGATTATTTCACTATATTTCCATGGCAGCCTTCACCAAAAAGCTACTTCTATAACTTTGTAGACCTTTGGCTTAACCCAACTTATCATCTAGAATTTGAGGAGCACGTTGGTTTCATCATCTGCATGTAACACTCATTAAACTTTGACTTAGGAGTCATTGTCTGCCAGGCTTTCCCTTGCTCTTGTTTCTGAATGATCTCTCCTTGGGTATTGTCTGAGCTAGTGAGTGTCAACATCCAGTCCTATTTTCTCCTACCTGTGAGGCCCTCTGCAGAGTCAGAGCAGGCCATGCTGGACTCGAGGTTCACAGTGCTATGGTGGGCTTTCTTCCATTTACACAATCACCTTCACATACTGTGGCCCGTGTTTTTCTTTCTTTGTGTTCCCCTAAACCTTGAAATAGTAAAATGTGTACCAGGATCATCTCCCTGAAAATTGGGAGCTAAGAGCCTGGCAGAGATATTTTGACAGAGATAAACAAAACATTACTTAGCACATGTCTGAACAGGAGAACCGGGACATGCTAAGACAGGAGAACTCACTGGGAGCTGGAAACTTGAATGGGGCACATGATGTCATTTGTTGTTAAGAAAATTCTCACAGAACAGATTGAGTTTCAGGACCTTGTAAACATTTTGGGAGAGGAGGAAATTTGGGTATTTGGAATAAATCTGAAAACTACCCTACACATCTGAGTGCAGGATTTGTGTGTCATTGACATCTCCACCCTGCCTTATTCCTCGTTCCATGGGGATCTGAGGCAGTGGGCGAGCTTGTCTACCAAACCGCAGGCACGGTGATTAAGTGGAGTCACACAGTGGGCTGTGTGAAGACGTCTACATCCCTGACACAGTGCAGAAAGCCAGCAAGCAAGCGTGTGCTTGTCACCAGTAAGTGCACAGAGATGGATGGGGAGGAGAAGTGAGGGACACTTGACCCAGGGATCCTCCTGGCTCAGTGCGTTTAAAAGGCATTCACAAGGGGCTGGGGATTTAGCTCAGCGGCAAAAGCGCCTGCCTGGCAAGCGCAAGGTCGTGAGTTTGGTTCCCGGTACCGGAGAAAAACCAAAAAAATAAAAAAATAAAAAAATAAAAAAATAAAAGGCATTCACATAGCACCTGTGAAGGGTGGGTTCCCACACTAAAAATGCTTGGGACTGCATGTTTCAGATTCTTTTTTCACACTTGGCAATATTTGAATGTACATAATGAGATATCTTGGGAATGGGACTGAAGTCTAAACACAAAATTTACGCTTCGTATATGCTTGCACCCGCTGCCTAAAGGTAATTTTATCTATTATAATAATTTTGTGCATGAAACAAAGTTTATATACATCGAACCCTCAGACTTGTGGAACATTGCAGAGTCTGGATTTTCGGGTTAGGGCTGTGCAGGCTGTGCGAGATGAGCGCCATTGAGGAAGGACGGCAAGAACAGGAGCTCACTGCCTTTGGTGATTTATCACCTAGGTGTGGAGTCCAGGTGCTTATCTGGGCGAATATGGCCTTTGTCTTTGGCAGTATGAGTAAGCAGGGTGAGGAAGCCCTGGTGTGTAGAGAACATAAGACTTCAGATAAGCTTTGAAGGGCTGACGGGAAACAGGAAAGAATAGAGCAATTTACCTGGAGCATTTTGACGCTGTTGCCATTTGAGAAAGACCGTCATAGCGTTTGACAGACCTCAGTGCAGGAGGGGAGGAGGGCTGTGGCCCTCTTGTTGTGCTTGCACGGCCTATCGGTGAAAGGTTCTGTGCGACTTCTTGCTCTCTCGATGTCCTGCCCCAGCTTCAAGTGGCCCTGATTCTGTTAATGCCTGCCTTGTTTAGACTTGTCTGTTTTGTAAGAGCTACTTCTTAGATGAGGGACCATTCCAGTTCTTTTCCTGATGGGAGGGGCTTCATGTCCTTCATGTAGATAAAACTAATCTGGAGGCAGCAGCGGTTCTGGCTGTACTTCCTGTCAGCTGAGCAACCTCAGACACACTTTATGGTTTCTCTCAGCTCAGGTTTCTAGCCTGTGATCATCACAGGGTACGGGTCAGGATCAAATGAGCTTCTGTGACAGTTCCTGCCTGGCAAAATAGATGTTCGATAAAATATTCTCACCCTCACTGCATCTGCCTGAAGGTGGAGGGAGGAGGCCTTGCCATCAGGGTTTTCCTGTTGGAGCAAGCAGAAGGTAAACAGGGAGGAAGCCCTAATCTTGGTTTCTTTTCTCCCCAGAGTTGCTGACCAGGACAATGTTTAGGATGGTTTGGGTTGGTCAGCAGGCCCATGCACAAGACGTGTCTAGGGGAGGAGAGGAAAAGCCTGGGAAGCTATTTACAGTATTTGACCTCTGACCTTCCCCATAACTTCCTTTCTTTGTGGGTTGAGAATCTGAAAACCCAGCTGCTCCTCCCTTTGACACTAACCCTGCACTGTCAGACACTTGAAATCAAAACAACTTTCTGCCGTTCTAAGTCCTGGCCCCAGCAACAGTGCCTTATATTATGGCCCTCCACTGCTTACAGTGACTATGCTAGAGGTTTGAGGGATGCACGTTTCATCATAATCTTCAGTCTCTGGTGAGGGGTTACAGCTGGGGTTTGCTCCAGCCCCAGAAGCTGTCAGTCTCCCATTTTTGTTGTTGTTGGTTGCACCTTTCAGAACCAAGAACCACTGAGAGAGGAAGACTCTGATTTCATCCTGACTGAAGGTGACCTCACCCTGACCTACGGAGACAGCACCGTGACTGCAAACGGCTCCTCGGGCTCCCACACAGCCTCTACGAGTCTTGAAGGTGGTCGGAGAACAAAGAGCAGCTCTGAGGAAGTGCTGGAGCGAGACTTGGGGATGGGAGACCAGAAGGTTTCTAGCCGGGGCACCCCTCTGGTGTTCCCGCTGCAGGAAAATGCATGACTTTCCCCTAACCCCGGAAGCAATGGGGTCAGCCTCTAGGGGGAGGGGTTCAGGATGGCTGCAGCCCAGCGTTGTTTGAGATGGGGCATTGACTGGACTGAAGTAATGCTTCTATTTTATCAGGGTCTGAAACTATCTTAACACTGAAAATTTAACCCAAGTGGCAGACAGTGAAGATGAAATGTCACTAAAATTAAAACAAATATTCCCACGTTTTCACATAGTAGTAGTGCGCTGTTTTGGAATTAAGCAAACAAAAACATAGCATGCTTTAATGGTCTTTTAATTCATCAACCTGCGACGTCTGTCCAAGATGGAGCAGGTATTGGGGATTCTGCCCAGGACAGGCTTCAGCCCCCTACCCGGCAGTGCTGGCTAGCTGGCTGGAGGAACGTCAAGTGGGGGGAGAACAGGCTGGAAGAAGGACCATGAAGGAAGGCAGTTGAGGCTGGATCTCCAAGAATTCTGTGATGCCAGAGTAAAGCGGGACAGAAAAGGCTGTTTGAGTGGAGGCTCTGGCAGTGAAGGCTGTGGGACTGCATCCTTCTATCAGGACTCCTGACTTTCTGCTACCTGTGTTTCTTCTACACTGAGGAATAGAAAATATATCTGTGAACATTTCAGTATGGTGTAGGGGAGAAGTACAGTTCCTTCTCTGGAAATCTCCATAAGAAAGAAGTTATGAAATATTTAAAACCAAAGGCAAATAGTGTTACACTGTTGTTTTTAAAATTAATCAGAGGACGGGAGATGTTTAGAAACTAGTAATATCATGACAGAAATCATTCAACTTTGGAGGGCTACCAAGTGAGCTTGGGAAACGATTAGTAGCATTGAGTTATCTTCTGTGCGGGTATAGATGACACCAACCTTTGTAAGATGCTTATATCTGGGGTAGGGAAGGAAGCAAGAAACTGAAGGGGCAATAGGCTTATATTCAGAGGGGAAGAGCTCTAACTGAAAAATCACCTGCAAAGAAAATACAATATAGGACTCCTAGGACTGGGTCGGATTCCAAACTTTGTGCTGATGGGTGCATGTGATTTCAGTGGCCACCCGCCGAATTGGAGGCAAGGCAGTGGACCGTTAAGCATTACTTGACCCAGTACAAAGTTACGTCTTCTGTCAGATTAGGAATCCACTTGTTTTGATACCAAGTGCCACACAGAGAAGAGTCACTTCCTTGATATCTTGGGAGGCTGTCGCACCACCTTAATTTGTAAATGTGGTTTGGAATCTAGGTTTTCAGTTAGGGTTCTTTCTGGGTGTGTTACTCTATTTGCCCACACCTGCGGTAGGTGAAATACCGAAAGAACACTTGGGAAACGTTTTGGGCCCCCCTCCCCTCCATCTCTGTGCTTCAGCACTAGCATTTTTGGAAACCCAGTTTTGTTTAAAAAAAAAATGCTTTCATATTATGCTGGCATTCTTCTCCTTATGGCAGATGAAATAGTGTCCCAGTCTAGCACACTCATGATGAAATCAGGCATTTAACCTTAACACATTTTTAACGGTTTTTCCCCTTAGAGACAGGATCTTGCTGTATTGCCTAGGTTGGTCCCAGTCCCCTGAGCTCAAGTGATCCTCCTGCCTCAGCCTCTTGAGTAAACTAGGACTGCAGGTGTGTAACATGATTCCTGGCTAATGATTATTTTTTAAACTAAGACATCACAGCTTTCTGTATTTGAATTGATAGTTTGTACAAATAAAAAATTTAATGACCTTGAGCCATGTGAAATTGCTAATATTCAACTATTTTTAAAACGCAGAAATGGCAGTTTCATATACATAAATATAATATAGTTGAATGAATCTTACTGCCTTTTTCCTGTCTATGTGCAGCAAAGTGCATTTTTTATTTTATGGTCATCCATGGGCCTTGTAAGTTTGAATAAACCTAAACAACCAGCTGGGCATGGTGGTGCATGCCTGTAATCCCAGCACTTGGGAGGCTGAGGCAGGAGGGTCACTGTGAGTTCAAGGCCGGCCTAGGCTACAAAGTGAGTTCAAGGCCAGCCTGAACTGCATAGTGAAACCCTGTCTCAAAAAGACAAAACAAAAACAAAAAAACCTAAACAACCTACTTAACTTCATGAGGTCTCAGGATCACTAGGTTAGAGAAGGACTTCAGGAAAGCTGTGCCCTTGCCAGGTGTGGTGGCGCACGCCTGCAATCCCAGCACTTGGGAGGCTGAGGCAAGAGGATTGTTGTGAGTTTGAGGCCAGCCTGGGCTACAAAGTGAGCTCAGGGCCATCCTGAACTGCATAACAAGACCCTGTCTCAAGAAGACAAAAAAAAAGAAACAAAAACAAAGACCTGTGCCCCACAGCCAGAGAAAGAAGTTTCTTAGCCTCAGGAAGGAAGGCTCTTAGGTTGAAGAGTCAGATTGCAGAGAGCAGCTGACAGACATGGCAGAATCCTGGAGTTGTGTGTATGTGTTTGGGCCCAAAACCAGCACATGTGTATTTATTTAGTAGTTATCTTAGTCATGGCCATATAAGCCTAAAAGGCGACACATACTTGTTTATATTTTTGTGGACTGTTGTTATTGACTTTGAGGTAGGGGGTCTCGCTAAGTATCCCAGACTGTACTTGAACTCATGATCTCCTGCCTCAGCCTCCCAAGTAGCTGGGATTATAGGTATACACCACTGCTGCTAGCTTGTTTGGTGTTTTTGAAGGGATAGAAGTATAGGCTGCCACTCTGGTTGGTCTCTATAAAGCCTTGCTTATATGCTGCTTAATTTTGGAGGGAAAAAGCTAACAGAAAAGCCATGATGATGGTTCTTGTACAAAGTCAACCAGGTAGGCTATACCTTGTCTTCATTCACCTCAAGCCCTTGTTGTCCTTTTGGGTTCCTAGGAAGCTTTCAACAGTTCATAAGAAATTACCCTCTTAGGGAACAAAAAGAATCACTACGCTTCCCAGCCAAGCGTTAGGTCAATCCATAGTGTTGTGATTTTCCTCAAAGGGTCTTACAGTCTTTATCGCAAACCATTTATTCTGACCTACTTAAATATAACTAAATGCAGATTTGCTAGGACCAAAACTAGGGTTGTAATTACTTGATTAAGTCTTTTATTCAGGGGATCAAAATAAGTCACTTTGACCTGTGGTCCTAATTTTTGTCACAAGATGGGGAGAATACCCTGAACTTAGCAGGGATCCTGGGAAGGTCAGTCTATTTGTGGAAATGGTTGCACATCCAGAAGCCTCGTGCCTAGGCTGTGTGGAGAAAAGTAGGGTGCTACAAAGTCCAGGAACCATCCGGCTCAAGGCCAGCTGTCTGCTGTCAGTCTGGCATAAAAACCAGACTGCAAGTGCTATGTAGTATGCATCCAACCAACCTAGTTCTTCTGAGAAAGTCGTCCCCAGTCATGCTTTTGTTCTGACCTGAAGGGGATGACAGTTCGGTACAGTATGCTCTTCTGAAAAAAAGGTTCTCAGTTCTGGCTGCACATTACAATCACATGGCCAGTTTAAAAAAAAGTAAAAACTTGACACAAGGGCTTCATGCTCTGAGATTGGGATTCAGTGGCTTTGGGCCAGAGCCTGGTGTCTGCTGTGGTTTAGAACTACAGGAGGTCCTCATGTGTGGCCACAGCTGAGAGGCTTTTGGCTAGAGCTTGTAGTGGACCTGATTTGGAGCCTTAGTTAAAAGAATGGCTTAGCAAATTAAGGGTTTGGTTTTTAATTGTTAGTCGTGAGGGACAAACTGAATATTGATCAGTAATAGAGCCTAGGCAACTGTAAGAGAGTTTATGCTAATCCTTGCAGAACTCAGGAATGCAGTACAACTGTACAAGTCACATTGAAAAACTTAGAGCCTTTGAGAGAAAAAGAATATACCTTGAAGATTAATTTTTTTTGTTGTTTTTTTTCCAGTACTGGGAATCGAGCTCATGACCTTGCGCTTGCCAGGCAGGTGCTGTGCAGCTGAGCTAAATCTCCAGTCCCTATTCCTTGAGTGTATGGGGAGAATTTAAAATGTCATCTTCATTCCCATTTGTAAGGGGAAAATGTAGGGTTTATCTTAATTGTTGACTAGTGAAGCATGAAGGTTTCTGGAAACTGACCTTTGACATTTAACACAGCATTAAGTTAACAGTCCCTTTTGTGGTCAGACTTTGTCTTTTACTTGGCCCCATGCCTAAATTCTTGTCGGATTTCTTAGAATAAGAAAGGCCCATTTACTGCCAGAGCACAGGGAAAGGTTGTGATCGTATTGCTGTCACATGGTGGCAGTGGTATAGCTCCAACAGAGAGGATAAAAACCCTTATTTCTTTTAATAAAACTCCTTGTGGAAACCACTAGGAAACTTAAACCATTCCTAGATAAGGATTTTTGGAATTTAAATATGGCTGCTTCTCTTCCTAGGAAATAAGCACAGGAAGGACATATGGAGTGACATCCAGGGTACTCACTGAGGTGACCAGACAAATGAATGTTGATGCCTTGAAGCCAAAAATCACACTGCGAAATCAAATGTCTCATCAAGCAAACAGCAAGGAGCTCTATAGGCCCTGTTCTCTAGACCCACAGATGTCCTCTATGGTTTGGTTGACAAGGGAAACCTCTATTTTAAAAATTGCAAAGTGTTAGCTCAGCTATCTATGAGCATTTCACTTCAGGGCAAGGAATTAATAATTCCTTTCAAGAGAGCTCTGTTTCCATTGCCCCACACCATCTCATCTCCTTTCCCTGTCTTCTGGGGAAGTTAATGTAATCATGTCAGGTTCAGTGTAAACCACCACCAATGCATTTAGGGAAGATTGGCAGGAACGCAACTGAGCAACTCATCAGAGGTGAAAATCATCTTCTTGGAAACCTGTCTTGCCCCATTGTGAGTTCTAAGAGGTGTGTCAAAAAGCTGACTGTCTCATTCATTGTAAAATGTAATCTGGACTGAGGGTAACCACTAAGTATATGCCTTCTTATTCCACCTCAGAAGTGAGGGAGCTTGACAACTTTCATGCCTACCTTCTGATGTTGATTCTGTAGATCACGTAGTGCAGGTAGGAATCTGTCAAATACATTAGACCAGTATTACTGAGTTCTGGTCTCTTTTGTTCTGTAAGAGAGAATCTGGCTTGTTAGTGTCAACTGCTGCATTCTGTCTGACAAGTAAGTTGAAGGAATCTAGTGGCCAAGTATCATAATTTAGAAACAACTTATCTGAATGCTGCTTTCACCACTTTGATATCTAAAAAACCTTCC